TCTGTAATTACTATATTTTTAGCCTGTTAGGTCTATAATGTCTCTGACCACTTGTACTTGTATTATTAAATATCTTTATTTTATTTTATAATATTATTTAATAATATAATAAAATATTAAAATAAATCGCCAACAATTTGTGGAGGAACATAATACCAAGAACAATCCTACGGTGAGCTAACGAAGGCATTGTTTTATAAACATTCGTTAAATATAAATGGAAATATTGTGGGCAGAACCTACCTACACAATCGATGCATCAGGGTCTGAAAGGGGTATCACACTTCCACTCATAATATAGTATAATTACATGTGTACTCGTATGCCAATGAAGTACGAAAGACTCTTTCCAATAAACATTGTTTTTATTTGCTCATTAGCCAGCAATCTGCTTGAGCTACTCGTACTACCTAATATTTCTTATAATTAGGCCTTTTGCATTAACAATGTATTTATTTAAGTGGTTTTCAATTATTTAATTTTTTAAAGAAATGTGGCTCAAGGATATATATTTTATACAGCTACAAAATTGACTGTTTGAATTCTGAATAAATTTGATTCTTATCATCAAAATACTTTTGAAATGGCTGTATTTAATGAATGGTCTAGCTAGGAGAGGGAGACTTATTTTAAGTCCACATCGTGCAAGCGTGACTTATTACCGCCCGATCGGCCTATAGATACCATTTGGGCCACCATTTAAGTATTGTGCATTACTGCGCGAATCTGCGTCGTTGGACTGAATAATTACCAAAGAAAAAACCACCAAATATTTCACGGCCAACATCACACACGGACTAAAATTTGCTAAAATTTCATTTTAATAAATTGCCCATAAAGACGCTTTTACAAGTTATTGCCACAGGAACAAACGATTTATTAACAAACTGGAGCCTATTAACTTACTTTCTAAATTTGGCTATTTGCTCACTTACTTTTGATAAAAATCTGAGACAACTTGTGAGCATCCTCTAAGTGTTAATTTTCATTAAATTCGTTTTGAAGACGAAGCAATTGTTAACATGGGCGGCATGTGAGCCGTTGTTTAAGAAATTGAACCAGCACTTTGTTTACAAACAAGGCAACTTTTTAAAAAAGTAAAAGCGTATACTTTTTAGTACGAATGTAAGACATGGAAGCGTGGCAGGCCCCACAATGTGTATCTATTTTTGACCAGCACGACAAGACGAGTCGATTTAGCCCTGCATGTCCGTCCGTAGATCACAGAAACTATAAAATTTCAAAAAAGAGAGATCCGTCCAACAAGATTTAAAAGGTGAAAATGAACGACATAATTGTTTTATGTGCCGCAAATAAATATTAATAAAATAAGCATGTGTGGAGCGTTTGTATTTGTAGGATTCAATTCCTATTTATTATGGAAGCTCGCATAATTGTTCTTAGCATTCTCAAAAAGTAGATTTTCTGAATCAATTAATTGGGGTTAAAAGAGTTATTTAAACGTGAATTTATTATTGAATCATTCCATAATTAAGTCTTGTTTTATTAGTTTTATTTCCACCATTTCTAAACAAGAATTATTAAATTGAAATTGAATTTGAAGAAACCCCATTGCAATTAATTTAATGCATCATTCCATTTGAATTCCCCATAATTCCCAAGAAAGGGGATACAGGACAGATATCGTGCTTCCATTGAGATGCGGATTCCACCCACTCGTAGAGTTGATACCCTGTAGCCAGCGAATTAAAAAGGCATTTCAGATTGTTGAGAGTGTATGCAACATAAGGTAGAAGGTGTGGTACGGCATATATACATATGCTATTATTTATATTTATTTATTACATTTATGAGCATTATGCATATACAATCTCTACACGCCTATATACAATTTTTAGTACAGGGTGTGTAATGGTCGAGCCTGGTCTCACCATAACAAAGTGTACAGAATCAGGAGCCAGTTTACTATATTTCGGCTTATGGGTTGTGTCTCGACTAAACAGACACCTTTCCAGTCTACTAAAAACGGTTGTGGTGTAATAATAAAGCCTCAAGTCATTCTCTAATTGATGCGTCACTCCCTCCCTAATCGATTGCCACTGCCTGCCACCAAAATTCATAGCTACCAGCTTATGGTCGAAAGCGTGAACTTTTTTATGTGCACGTAAACAGTGTGGCCCATTTGCCGATTTTGAATAGATCAGCGATATTTTTACTTACTAAATTCAGGTATTGCTTTCACTAATTTAAATAAAAAACAAACCATTTCAAACTTGCATCTTTAGTCTGAAATTTTTGAAAATTAAAAGGGCTTTCTATTTTTGGAAATAATACAAGGGTTTGTAGTGGTCGCTTTTCGTTACTACGAACTCTTTTCGAGGCAGCGTAGAAGTAGGCAACAAATGACATTTAAAGTGCAATTAGTTGTTGTCCACTTAGTGGACAACTATTTTATCTTTAAAGTAGACATTTTTAAATAGTGAACCACACAAGTGACGCTTAAATCTATCAAATCGGAGCAAGGAACATCTTAGCTAAAGCACCTTAGTTTAAAGCAGCCCACCCACATGCGTAAATGTTATTTGGGTGTGATTTCACTCGGCTCTAGCATTCCATTCATGTTTACTTTAAACTTTCTAATTGCCATAAATGTAATCTCTGCCCAGGGCTGTTGTTTCTGCTTTTGATCAACTCTGTACTGCACACATGCTGACACAAAGACACACGATCAACAAAAGTTGTTTGTAAAACTTTGTTACTTTTTTTCAATTTTCTTAAATTTTTAGATTTCTATGGATATTCTACACATACATACATACATATGTACAGATAATTACAAAGTTGGGACACCCGGCTTTTGGTTCTCCACTTCTTTGTATTTTTTCAGAGTACTATACATATATGTATGTATGTATATATGTACATACGTACATACGTACATATTAAGTTTGAAGTAGATCAGTTGAAAATGCGGACTTTGGAGCGTGTTTTCCCCCTTTGGGAGCTCGAATTTTACAAACACTTATCTTATCGCTCACCTTCACTGTGAAAAGATACTTGAGTCCTTTCTCCACCCCACCACATCCGCTTCAGTGAAAACTCTCTTAATGATATCTGTTTTATTTGGACACCACTCTTAGGTGGACCCATTTTTGGTAGAACATTCGGCTTGGTGTATTTCTTAAAGAATGTTTGCCTCTCTTGTGTTTTTGTGCTGCACCTATCGAGAGGTCGATATGTCAATCGAAAGATATTAAAGCACATTTTTAGATTTAGATGTTCAATATAGTACATATGTACATACATACATTTTCAAGAACAGGTGGCTAAAACTATTCCCTTTCATTTGGTAAAGCGCGAATGTTCGGACACCTCCTGGGTATATTATATATTTATACCCTGTACCCAAAGGGTACAAGGGTATATTAGTTTTGTGCGAGTGTACATGTAACACACAGAAGGAGGCGTGGCAGACCCCACAAAGTATATATATTCTTGATCAGCATGACAAGCCGAGCCGATATAGCCATGTCCGTCTGTCTGTGTGTATGAACGCAAAGATCTCAGAAAGTATAAGAGCTAGAATAACTAAACTTGGTATCTAGATTCTCCTGAGCCCGAGAAAGGACGAGTTTGTTCATTTTTCCCGATGCACCCCCCACTCCCCCCCTATTCAAGATTTTCTATAGCTCCCGTAATTCTTGGAATTTTAAACTAAAATTTGGTGGACACATCCAGTTCGTGATTATATATCCGTATGTAAAGTTTCATTATGATAGGTTGATCAGAACCAGGCCCAATGCACACATACATACATCTGTATGTACAAGTACACCAACACGAATAGACACGATTCTGATGTAAATGTATGTATGCATGCATGGAATATTTTATATTTAATTAAATTAATTTGCTGTTAATTAATTAAGTTAATTTAATTAAATAATTAAATTAAATTAATATATTTTTTTGTGGGTGGTACAGGGTATTTAAGAGTTGAGCCTGCTCGACTTTAGCATTCCTTTCTTGTTTAAAATACTTTTGTATACTGTTTTGTTTCCAAGTTCATTTGTCCAAATGGGCTTGATGGAAAGGTATTTTAATCTTTTCTCAGCAACACAGCGTAATTTACTTAAAAAATATTTTATACATATCAAATATGTACTTTTGTTCTCTTTCCACTGTTTCAAAATCGTTGGTAACTATGCATTACCGATTAGGGATGTAAAAAAACATCGATGTATCGAGCATCGACGATGTTTTTACCACGATGCATCGATGTTTTCCGATGTTTTTTTGCTAACGATGCATCGTCGATCCATCGATGTTTGTCCAAACATCGAACATTATTCATGTTTTGTTTGTGTGGCTTACCGAAAATGGTATGTATATTTATATCATAAATTATTTGATGTTTTCGTTAAAATGTGTATTTTATAATATAAATTTTAGATTGTTAAGTATTTGATCTTCTTTTTTTCGTATGTAATGTCACACTTAATATGCCTAAGAGGTGTAGCTGCAACGCGTCGTTATTTTAAAAACTGTTATAATAAGTTTTTTTAAGTAAGCCATACAAGTTCATCAAAAGTCAATATTACGAGTACTATTTTGATTAACAACATTAAGTAAAATGCTATGACAGTCTCTTTTGATATATAAACACTTTTTATTTCAAGCTTCTCTGCTGATTAGCTCCCTAATAATAGCTTTTTTTCTATGGAAAGTTAATTTTTTAAAACATCATCGATGTTTTTTTGCGATGCATCGACCATGCATCGATTTTTTATAACGAGACATCGATGTACATCAACATCGATGTTTCCCTTCGACTTACATCCCTATTACCGATTTGAGGCACACCGCGCATCTAGAGAAAATTCAAAAACATCGATATAATCGAAACTGATAACCCGATTGCTTACCAGCTGATATTACACCCTAGTTCATTTGCAATAATAATATGCGTGAATTAAATGTACTTATATTTAGTGTAGAACTTAACGAAAATTGTTAAGGTAATAAGAGACTGTAAGTCGTTGATATATCCGTGTATACATAATGGACACATCTACCAACGTTGCAAAACAGTTTCCAACTAACTCTTTTATATTATCTCTGAGTGCGTAATTTTATTTTGTAAACATTCAAGGCGCTTGCGAAATACTTGCGCACAAAAATAAACTGTCGAATGTCAGCTGCCGATTGTAAGTTGTTGAAAAAGTTGTTAAGATTCTTAGGTATTCGAAAACAAAACAGCACGTGCACCTTAAGTAAGCAACTGGAAATATTGTATTTTTTAGTTTAGAAAACAAAACAAGTACATATATATACACTTTTGTATGTATGAACATTTATATATGTATGTGCATAGGTATGTATGTATGTATTTATATGTTTGTGTACTATATTCACACTTGTGGAGTGCGATCTGTCTTAGCACATGGTTTACAATTTGTTAAGTAAATAGCAACACTTAATCTATTCAGAATCTTCATCATAACAGTTTGTCTTATCTCTTGAATAAAATATATGATCGAACCTCTATAACAATATTCTCTACACATACACCAGACGTAAACCGAAATGCACGCCAATGGCCAGTCCCCGCATCTTACTTCTGCGAAGCCCATACCCATTCCTGCCGTCGAAAACGATCAGCAGCAGCTGCCGAAGCTGCGGCTTAACACCATTAACTCGATGGACAGAACGGTACCCGCCTCGCCCACTTTGCAGAGTCCGTCTATGCGACGCAATGTGAGCGATGGCAATCTAGTGGGGCAGGATGTAAAGGAGGCGCGTGTCCGCGTTATTTACACTGGCGGCACCATTGGCATGATGCGCAACGAGCGCAACGGTAAGTGGATGATGCATCTAGCGATTTAGCACCTGCAGTAATTTTGCACCATTTAGTTCTCGCCCCTATATCCAATGCGCTGGTGCGCAGCATACGAAAATACCCTAACATCCATGATGAGGAATATGCGCTGCGTCGGTTTGGCGCCTCTGCTTCAATGGCGCCACTGGTGCTGCCCTACGTGCAAGGCGAAACGCGACGGGTACTCTACCAGATCACGGAATACACGCCCCTTTTGGATTCAAGCAACATGACCATGCATGACTGGGCCCGCATCGCAGAGGACATACATGTGAGTCCGCTGCGCATACGCTTCAATAAATAGTTATATATGTCACACAAGATATCAGATAGGTTAAAATAAAACTAGTAGTTCCTCACCTCTTTTATACAATTTTGGGGAGCAAAATCGCAAAATATATTTTTTTGTATAGATATTCAGAAGTTTCGTCTGTTTTGCGTTTGTAATGCACAGAAAGAGAAGTGGTTGAAGGCCTTGTCCGTATGTATGAAGTACTTATGTTTCCACGATTTAATAACATACCGATGTTGCAAATACACTGCACATTGAAGATACTAGTATTTATATACCAAATTTTATATATGTACATATGTATTTCCCAGACTATGTACAACTTTTTGTTGTTATATCTACAACGTTTGTATGAGATTGCTAATTTTGTTAGCTTATCTTAAAATTGAACAAGAAAGGAATGGTAAAGTCGAGCGGGCTAAACTCTTAAATACCACAAAAAAAAAAAATTATTAAAAAAATGTATTCTTTAAACATAAAATATTCAACACATGCATACACACATAAGTGTTCAATTTCAACAGAATACATTTAAAATAGAATCGCCATATCTAGTCGTCTTCTCATACTGATCAAAAATATATGTACATATATACTTTGTGGAGTCTGCCACACCTCCTTCTGCGTGTTACATACATTCGCACAAAACTCATATACCCTTCCACCCTTTGGGTACAGGGTATAAATATACTGCTTTCTTTCAAAGTGAATACTCTATCTTCAAAATTATAATTATGGATTGCTTTTACATCAATGTTTCTGCATTCTATTGCATCCCACATCGCTGCATGATACTAATGGCCCATGGGTTTTATAATTGATGTATTACAGCAATCCTATGAGTTTTTCGATGGCTTTGTCGTGCTTCATGGCACCGACACGCTCTCGTACACAGCCTCCGCATTGTCGTTCATGCTGGAAAATCTCGGAAAAACGGTCATCATAACCGGCTCCCAAATACCCATTTTCGAAACACGAACTGACGGCAAAGACAACTTCACGTCAGCTCTTATTATAGCCGGAAACTACGTGATTCCTGAAGTGTGCGTTTTTTTTGGTAATAAACTGATGCGAGGCAATCGGACAGTTAAGGTCAGTTCGAATGCGCTAGACGCCTTTGATTCACCCAATGTTCCACCACTGGCGCGCATTGGTATTAATGTGAATGTGGACTATCGCCTTATCTTCCGACCATGCAGTGTGGAACGGTTTAATGTGCATTTGGACCTGGACGAAAACGTGGGTTTGCTTAGGATTTTTCCAAGCATATCGCTACCCACGTTCCGCGCATTTTTGGCTCCGCCAATTAAAGGTGTTGTGTTACAATCGTTTGGATCTGGTAATGTGCCATCAAATCGTCATGATCTGATTGAGGAACTGCGTGCGGCTGCTGCACGTGGGGTGCTTATTGTCAACTGTACTCAGTGCCCGACCGGGTCCGTTGCCGAAATCTACGATACGGGAAAAGTGCTTTTTGATCTTGGCGTCATTCCGGGGTATGACATGACTCCAGAATCAGCGCTGTCTAAATTGGCCTATGTTATTGGAAAGCAGGAGTGGACACTGGATGTCAAAAGACAGGTGAGTGTCATACAACTTTTCTCTCTCTCACACACACACACACACTTAATCTGTCTATCCCCCTCTGCGTTTGTTTGGCATTACAGATGCTTCAAACGAATCTTCGTGGAGAACTAACTACAACGGCAGCGCCAAAAATGGAGGACTATGATCTTGTCGATGCTGTTGCACGTTCACTCCACCTAAGCTCTCCTCAAGAGCTAGACCAGCTGGGCGCCACACTATTTCCGGCCATGATCAACGCCGCCGTTGTCGACGGTGACATAAAAAAGATCAATAATTTAAAGACGTATGGTGCAGATTTGTCGGGCGTGAACCATGACAACCGCACGGCGCTCCACTTGGCCTGTCAACTGGGTAACGTTAAGATTGTGCGTCAATTGCTGCGCAATGGTGTCTCAGTACACATACGCGATCGCTACGATCGCACACCACTTCTGGAGGCGATATCAATCGACAATCAGGAGATAATAGAACTTCTGATCAGTTGTGGTGCCCACTTGACCGGGTCCTCTCGTGCCGTTGGAGAGCAGTTATGTGCGGCGGCTGCGCGTGGCTCGATAAAGCGGCTTCAATCTTATCAGTGTGCAGGCGCCGATCTATCACAACCAGATCCGTCAGGTCGGACAGCGTTGCACTTGGCAGCTTTGCATGGGTTTCTGGAGGTGGTGCAGTACTTGCTTCCCTTTATGGAAAACCCACAAGAAACTGACATGTTAGGACTTTCTGCTCTGGACTATGCAAAACGGGGTAATCATACGATCATTGTGGGCATGCTTAACACTGAAACAAACACGGAGGTCTGAAATGATCCAATGCCATGAAAAGTTGAAATACTACAGAAAGGCGGAGAGGAAGGGCCCATTATCATTTAAACCTATCATTTTTGTATCCTTAGTCTCGAAGATTTGCTCAACTTAAGCTACAATTAGCATAATCTATTTTCAATGGTCTAGTCTGTTTATTGTAACCAAAGATAGGTGTGCTAATACGCTGTTTGAAATGTAACTTTGTACAATTGTTTTTATGTATGTATAATAAACGGGGTTTTTATTAATTTACTAAACATAGAAATTAGAAAATTTTGCTTAAGTGAACGAGTAGAACGCTAAAGTGGCGCGAACTCGACTCTTGTATACAATGCTCCCTCTCATACACCAACTTCAGCTAAAATAAACTTAATTGAACCCCTTCTGATATTAGTTGGTGCACTCATAAATAATTTATGCATTATTTAAAGCTCGTAAATATAGGCTAGGGTTGACTACGATATTAAACAAAAAAGAACGCTAGAGTCGAGTGGGCTCACCTCACAAGAAAAAACAAGATAGAACGCTACAGTCGAGCAAGCCCGACAGTAAAATAGCCTGTACTCTCCACAAAAAGGAAAAATTTAAAAAAAAAAATTAAAAAAAATTAAATTATTAAAAAAAATGAATGAATGAATTAATTAAAATAATTAATTAAATTAAATTAGAATACATGTTTATGTTCAGTTTAAACAGCATACATTTACATCACGTACCTATGCGTGTTTATATGCGTGTATGTATGCAGCACAAAGTTGAACCAAAGCAGCAACAACAACAACAGCTGCGGGCAGCGCTGCCGACAGAGCTGCAGGCAGCGCATGAGCAGCGATTTTACTTATGGCTATAACTTTCTTCAGAATTGACCTATCATGATGAAACGGACACATTAGTACTAACCGGATGTACCTACCAAAATTGATTTTTAAATTCCGAGAATTACGGAAGTTATAAGAAAAAATACGAATTGCGGGGGAGTGGGGGATGTATCAGAAAAAATAAACAAACTCGTTCTGCCTAGGGCTTATAGGAACCTTGATACCAACTTTGGTTATCCTAGCTCTTGTACTAACTGAGATCCTTGCGCTCATACAGACAGACGGACATGGCTATATCGACTCGTCTTCTCATCCTGATCAAGATTATATATACTTTGTGGGGTCTGCCACGCCTCCTTCTGTGTGTTACATACATGCGCACAAAACTAGTATAGCCTTTCACCCTTTGGGTACAGGCTATAAAAACTAGTCCATTTTCGGGCTTAGGAGAATCTGAATATCAAGTTTTGTTATTCTAGCTCTTAGATCCATGCGTTCATCCAGATAAGTGGACATTTATACATTGAGTCGTCTTGTCATGCTGATTAAGAATATACACATGTACATACATATTTATATACTCTTCAGGTACAGGGTATATAGTCATTCTGAAGCTTTCAATGTGTAACCAAATTCTTGAGACACTCAATCATGCCTATTGTCTTTAGAGTTACATATTATGTACATTATTTTGGGTAATTTTAAGGTCCACTTAACTATTTGAGCGTGTGGCGAAATCTACTGAGAGCAGAAAATCTGAAAATGCATACACACATAGTATGTACGCCGTATCAATTGGACTTTTCAAAAATAAATTCTGTACAATAACCTAATAAATATTTGTATAAGTTCAAGCCAATATTTTGAAGTGTACTAATAAAATATAAAATCGAAAGATAGCTCTGAAATTGTTCCAATCTTACAGGGTAAAGTATCAAATATAAATCAGCCTTCAAGTGTATTATAACAATAAACTATGCGAAGGCCTTGATTTGCTCGGGTGATAAACGATCATTGTTGAATATCATTTTGTGTAAGAAAGTGACCGCACTACCTATAACGCGCAATTAATTATCCGTCCGCCCAGTTTTTCAATTTTTTAACGGACCATATCTTGGGGTAAATTACAATTAATTTAACAGTGCGGCAACTCAGTCTGGCTACATCAATTAGAGACATTTTTGTACTTTCATTTACTGGCAACTCTACTCACCTCAGTGCTTCCCAGCTTTTTATAAACAGCTGAGTTGAGAGTATTCATATGAGTTGTGCAGCACTGCTCCCTTTAGTCAACACTTACTGCTGACATGGAATTTTAGTGTTTGTTGGTAGATATACAATAATTGGTAAATAGTATTAAGTTACTGCAAGTGGGATGGTCCGCGTCGTGTGCAATTTTTTATGGTTCAACGAGGTGCATCAAGTGTTCATTGATTTGCACATCAGCCTCAGTTTACAAAATAATTGCTTCAAGCAGGCTCACCCACAGGTCGTGCACTCACACAACGAAGAAGTCGCACACGTCAGTGCCACGAATTTCTAAATTTCTTATGCCACAAACAGCCCTCATCATTTGCATTCAGATAACTTAGCCATTTTTCCTTTTCCCCAAACTGCAGTCAATGACGATAGTAAGCACGAAACTTACTAAACACGCATGTTTTTGGAGGTAGCTACTGGTTTATTTCTTCGTTTCTGGTATTTAGCTAGTACTATTTGTTTGTAAACTGGAGCGCGGAATGTCGCAAGATAATACCACGGATGCTGGCCTGGAAAACTCCCTAGATTTTTCCATGGTTGAGGTGCGTATGTCGTGTAAATTCTTAAATGGAAAATTAAATCGTTCAATCTCTTTACCTTGGACATTTCAGCAGGATCTGAGCAACAACGACGATGTGGATGAAATTCGTGTGTCCGGCAGCTCCACAGATTTGTCATTGTTACAAGTGGGTGGATATTTTAGCTTGGTTGTATTGAGGAGATTACTAAATGTGATTTCTTTTACAGAATCTTTCGATTATCACATCTGGGGGCGGAAGTGGCCAGGGGCGCCTGGACAGCTTACGCGAGAATTTGTCAAAACAACAGGTAACCGTGAATACCAATCCAGAAAATTTATGATTCCTATGTGTACTATACTATCCTCAGGAACGACTTTCGGCGTTGCGTGAGCAGGCCCTCAGAAAAACCGAGGGTGGTCGCCGCAAAAGCAGTATGAGCGACTCTATGGAATCGCTGAAATCACTAGGACAGAAGTTCACGGTACTCAAGGGGCGCTCAGGTACAAGCCGAAATGAATCGACAGACTCGCACTGTATTCTTAACGAAATGGCTCAACGAAATGTTTCGACACCGATAACAACAAAAACGAAAGATGCTGCTGGAAGCCACATATCGCCAGCATCTCCCCCACTGGTCACTGGCAATGAAAAACTGATAATGCTTACCCAACGCACCATACAGAATCGAGCATTGCTAGAACAGCGCAAGCGAGATATTGCAAAATCTCTGTTGTCCGTAAAATCTTCGCTAGCTAGCACAACGGGTGAGCTGGGCTCCTCGATGACGGATTTGCGCACGGCGGAGCCATCCGGTAATGTACCAGTGTCGCGGCATCGCTCGGCGGCAGATTTACAACTGAAACAGCAGACGGGGGAGCAGTTTGACGAGGGGCGCCTGAAGCTGTTGAAAAACAAAATTAAAATCAATGAGATGAAACAAAGTCGCAAAGAGCAGGAATTGACTCAAGAGCTTAACGAGCTGCGTAACGAACTAACAAAGCAAGTTAATCGCATCGAAGAATTAGAGCAGTGTAAGGAACAACTACAAAAGACACTCACGGAGAGGAACGAGGATTTAGAGACGCTGCGCCAAACCTCTGAGCTCGGCGGTGGCAACACGCATCTGCAAAATGAGATTGCTGCTACGCGACTGCGAAATAGTGAGCTTGAAGATATAAACGACATGCTGGAGACGACGCGCCGTGAACTACAAGAAGAACTGTGCAAAGCACAGGAGAAGCTTAGCACCACGGAGTCGGACTTATATGCACTACAAGAAAAGCAACAAAACCTGGAACTAGAGCCGCAGCAGGAAAAAAGTAGCAAATCCTCCAGCAGCACTGAGTCGCAGGTTAACATAGAATTGGCCAAGCAAGTGCAAGAGCTTGAACAGAAGCTTGAACAATTACAGAAGCAGCATGAGGAACTGCGTAGTGAGAATGCGGCCAATGTCAGTGCAAAGCTAGACGTAACCGATACCATGGTTTCTGAACGCCTGGCTGAGTTAGAAGCTATCATAGAGACGCAACGTGTGGAGCTAGAAGTGCGTGCACAAAAATTGAATGCCCAAGAGGAAGATTTGGCCGAGAAGACAACCGAACTGAATGTGCTCAATGTTAATTTGCGGCTGCTGGAAGAGAAGTTGGCGCAAAGTACTAAAAGTAAGCCTATTTTCTTAGCTGCCGCCTCCGACATAGACGTCAGTGAGGCCAGCGAGGAACTCAAGGCGGAGCTACAACAGTTAAAACAAAAGCTGGACGAATCTAACAAGTCTAACATCAAGCTTAAACTGCGCTGCAAGCAAACTGAGAAGCAAATGGAGAAGCTCAAAACTAGCAGCGAGCTCCACAAGGAGCTGTCGCGCCTTACCGCTGCAAATAACGAGTTGCAACAACGCGTATCCGTGCTAGAGGATGAGAAAGGCCAATGGCAGCTGGTGCAAATGCACGATAACAATGGTAGCGAGGAGGATGAGCAGATTACGCCCAGTATTACTGGTGTAGCCCAACAAGAAACTATCCGCCTACTTGAGGAGCAAAAACTAGAGTTGCAACAAGCGCTAAAAGCGCTTCAGCAGGGCAGCGAGTCAGCACGCGTGGAGTCAGAGATTAGTGAAGTGCAATTAGAAGAACAACTCTCACAACGCGTCCAACAGTTGGAATCCGAAGCGCAAGAGCAGAGGGAGAAGATTCAAATGCTACAGAATGAAAAGGAGGAGCTAGACAAGAAGCTATCGCACTACATAAACGAAAACATGGAGCTGTTAGATAAGCTGGAGAAATTGAGCAAATCATCATCTTCAGCGGAGTCTATTGAGATCGTGGAGCGACCTACGCAACAGGAAAGAGCTGAGCTAGAGCGCTTCAATAAGCGACGACCAGTTAGTGAGGGCGACGAGAGGCCACCGACTGAGGAGGACGATGGTAGTGTGCCCGATGCTGTGGTGCTGCCAAGTTTTGTCAGCGAACTAACGCAAACGGACACAAACATTGAAGCGAGTGAAGGTGCTGAACTGTTAGCAAAGATAGAGCTCTTCACAACGGAACGACGCGAGGTACTGGAGAGAATGGAGCACCTCAATGCAGAAAACGTGGACTTGCAGTCCAAACTGGAGCAATACGCACGCGAGGCCCAGCAGCTGGAGAGCGCAAAAAGCAAGCTAGAGCAAGAGCTTGAAGATGTGCAGAGAGAAAAGCAGCTGCTAGTGATGTCTCAATCACAGCTGAGCAGTGACTCCAATACGGGCAAGTCCAATCTCACGCAAGAGCTAAGTTCCATGCAAAAATCTTCAGAAGTCGTGGCTGCCCTTGACAGTGGCGAAGGCACCGCGCTATTCGACAAGTGCGAACGATCCTTGTGTAAATTAAATAGTGAGCTGCAGGCCTACCGCAAGGCCAACGATCGTAATGCTAAATTCAATGTGTCCAAGAAGTTGGCCAAAGAGGCCAAAAATGTGCATACCCAGCTGACAGAACTACTGCAGAAGGTAAAAGAGGCCAGCAATGCAGTGGAAACGGTCACAGTAGTTGAGACCGTAGTGGCTGTGACCGCACCTAATGGCAAGGCTCTGGCCGAATACGAGCAACTGACGGCACAAAATGCTGAACTTAAGGCAACTTTGGCGACGCTACAACTAGAGTTAAGTGAACTGCGCGATCATCACGAGGATAGTAAAGAGCCTGAGCCGCTGCCTGCGCACTTGGCCATTGCAACGTATGATGCACAGATCGAAACAGATCGGCAACAAAAGGTGGCGGAATTAAAAGTGGCTGAGTTGCAGGTCACGGTCGAGGAACTTGGCAATCAGCTGCGCGAAGCAAACTATGCCCATGCAGAACGTCTACAACAGTTGACCGAGCAGAGTGATGAGCTGCGACAGTTGCAGTTGCAAGTGGAACAGTTCGATCACACATTGAACAAGAAGGAGATGGCACACGAAAAGCAAGTGGAGCAATTGACGCGCGTACGCCGAGAGCTCGAGGGCAAAAACGAGACCTATGAAGCAGAGATGCAAATCCTGCAAACGCTGGTGGCGGAGCAAAAACAACAGCTCATTGAGGCGTACAGTGAGAGTGAGCACAAGCTCAATATGAAACTATTGGAGCTGCAGCAGTGCCATGAAGATTTGGCTTCACTGCGGGCGGAGCTTGAGCAGCGTCGAAGTGAGGGTGAAGGAGAAGAGGCGGCTCTAGCCGAGGAGTGCAGTAAACTACGTGAGGCGCTTAAGATTAACAAGACATTAGCATCGCAACAAGTAATTGAGTTGGCAAATAAGCAGGAGACGATCGACTCACTGAATCAGAATATCATGGAGCTCTACGAGACTTTGGAGCAGCGTGCCGAAGCGCTAAGTGAGCTTGATGCTGAGCATAATAAGTCTCAGGTGCTCTCCGAACGCCAAGTGCAACTGGAAGCTCAAATGAACGAGCTGAAAACAGCGTATGAGGCTAGCGAGGCGCGCAATAAAGAACTGCGAGAAAAGCTTAAGAAGTACGCGGCGAATTTGAAAAAGAGGGGCATGGAAATAACAGAATTAGAGCAGCAGGTCAAGATGCTTCAGGAGAGCGACCACCATGGAATAAAGTCGGAGCCAGAGTTGCCTAATGTTACCAGTGTACAGCTGCTACTTAACACGGAACATCAATTACAGCAAAAGCAGACCCCAATATCCAAAATTTACGAGGAACTCAATCTGGACAGTCATGATCAAAAGCAACAGATACAAAAAAGCGATCAGAAATCTATTAAATCCCAAGAAGAGGAGGTATGTATACACATCTTACTTATAATTTTCTGTATCCTACATGAAACTTGGACACATAATCGCAAACTACAGGTATAATTGAAAAGTTCCAAGAATTAAAGGAGCCATGGAAAATCATGAATAGCGGGAGAGTGGGGAAGGAGGAAAATTCTTAAACACACATTTTCTGCGTATTCATATACGTACATACCTCTTATAGTCTCTGAGATCCAGGTGTTCATGCGGACCGACAGGCTGAAAGCCCAGATCGACTCGTCTTTTCATGCTGGTCAAGAATATATGCATATATGTACATACTATGTACACCGCTTAACACGAGAGTTGCGTTCCTAGAAAACCTTGTGTTAAGCGAAATCGTGTTAACCGAGACAAGGTGGTTACAGTAATAGGCTTCCTTTTTTAAATATTTTTAAACTTCTATCCTGAAAGATCGAGATTTTCATCGTATTAAAAGAGAAAAGGTAGCAAATATTTAATCGTGTTAGACGAAGTTCGTGTTAAAAGATGTCGTGTTAAGCGAGGGCTCGGTGTACTTTGTGGAGTTTGTCACGCCTCCTCATGCCTGTTACATTTTTCACCTTCCGCAAACCTAATATACTCCTGTAAATTTCTTGAGCCCACTCGACTCTATCATTCTGTTTTTATCGATCGGTTTATAATAAATAAATGTAAAATAAAATTTTCCTAAATACTTAATTACCTGAATTAACCATATGAATAGTAGCCAAACGAGTGCAACTATACCATTGGACCTTTTTATACTCTGTACATGAAATGTACAAGAGTATATTAGGTTTGCGGGAGCTGAAAAATGTAACAGGCAGAAGGAGGCGTGGCAGACCCCACAAAGTATATATATTCTTGATCAGCATGACGAGACGAGTCGATCTAGCCCTGTCTGTCTGTCTGTCCGTCTGTCCGTCCGTATGAACACCTGGATCTCAGAGACTATAAGAGATAGAGACACCAAATTTTGCACGAAGATGCGTTATGTGTGTATTCTATACGAGTTTGTTTTATTTTTTTGATTTTCCCCCCTATGGGGGTTTTCCCGATTTTCCATTCGTATAATCGCCTATATCTCGGAGACTATAAGACCTAGGAACACCAAATTTTTAGTCCCAGATGCCTTATGTGAATACGCAGAAAATGTATATTTTGGAATTCCCCTCCCTCCCCCCTCTACCCCGCAAATCGTAACTCCCGTAATTCTTGGAATTTCGAACTAAAATTTTGGAAATACCCCCAGTTAGTTATTATGTGTCCGTATGCCAAATTTCATTATGATAGACCGATTTAACAAGAAGTTATAGCCATAAATATATTTGCTGATGCAGCGCTGCTGCAGCGCTGCTCAAGCGCTGCCCGCGGCTGTTGTTGATGTTGCTGTTTGGTTGACTGTGAAAATGCTTACACAGACACGAATAGATGCGCATAGGCATACATACACTCACACAGACGCAATTGCTATGTAAATGTGCAATTATACACCCTTTACGTGAGTTCGAATACCGAGAGAGGTAAAATCGATCAAATTTTTTTTTTTATTTTCTTAATTTTTTTTATTTTCTATAATTATTGTAAACATATGTACAGAGTATTTCAAAGTCGGGACACCCGACTTTAGCTTTTTTACTTGTTAAATTTAATAAAGAAGTGGATACAGAGTCGGCCAAAGTCGGTTGCGCTAAATTTTATCATTTCATTCTTATTCAAATTTCGTACTTGTTATAAAACCACAAAATTTGTTAAGGTTTGTTGAGAACTCTTGTGTTGTGATCTTAATACATATAATCTTTCTTCTCTCTTCATAAAAACAGAATCAACAACAAGCCAAGTTATTGCGTCTACAAGATGAGCTTCAAAATGCGGTTCATGCCAATACAGAGCTGCGCCGCGAGTGGGAACAGGCGGAAAGGCAATGGAGAGAGCGATTAGAGGCTGCCATGCAAACAACGCGCCATGCAGGCTCCGGCGATAGCGATGGAGCAGCCAATGATCAAGTGCTTGAGGATCTGCGCCGTCAGCTCGCGCAGAAAACGACTAAGTTTGAGAAATGTAAGGAACTCATAAAACAACGCAATGCCACCATACAGAATCTTCAACGCGAGGTAAACGACCTACGTGGCCAGCTTCGGTTGCAATCAGAGGAGGATGTTAACCAGATGATTCCCGTTGAGCAGCATGTGGCGCTGCAGGAGCAGCATGAGCGTCTAGTCGAGCAGTATGACAGTGAAAAAGCGGCCTTTGAACAGACCATTGTCCGTTTGGAAACCCTGCACGAAGGTATTCAGGCAAAGCTGCAGCAGGACAGATCCTATATAGACTCACTAGAGGGCGAGAACGATAACCTTAAGTGTAAGTTGACAAATTTGGAAGAGAAAATAACAACGCAGGCTCAGCTGCAGGCGACCCTAGAGCAGCGACTACACCAAAAAGAGGAGACCCTGCAGGGTCAAGCTCACGAGCAGCAGGAGCGAGAGTCACTGCTGCGCACTGAACTTTCTAAGCTGAGTGAGCTCAACAACAGTCAAACTCAACAGCTGGCCGAGGCGCGCGAGGAGGCAGAAGATGCGCGACAGCGCTTGGACTCACTTCAAGGTGTCCATGACACGCTGCTGGCCATGCATGAAAAACTGAGCTCTGAGATACACTCGCAACGGGAGGAGCTTACCACACGTAGTGATCAGGAGTTGCAGGAGCTGCGCCTGCAGCTTGACGCTCGAGAATCTGAGATCCAACGTCAGCGTTCTGTTTATGATGCCAAACTGGCAGCAAAGAGTACTGAACTGGACGAGTTAGAGTGTGACTTGAGCGCCCACATGGAACGTGCGACGGCCGAAAACCGTGAGCTAACGCAGCAGTTGGAGCGGGTACAAGAACAGCTGCAGCAACGCAACGAGGAGTTAGCTTCACTAAATCGCGAGCTGAGCTATCTGCGCCTGCAGCAGGATAATGCTGAACAGGACGTCCTTGAGCTGCAAGAGCTGCGAATGCAAGCATTGCAGGACAAAACCGAAACGGATAATCTTCGTGCCCAAATCGACACGTTGTGTGCCAATCACAATCAGGAACTGCAAGTACTGTTACAGCAGATTGCAGAGCTTGACACATTGGGCCAGAATCAAACAGACGACCAGGTATACATACAAACTGAGAACAAACGTCTGGCAGAGCAGCTAGCAGAGTTGCAGGCTCGAGTAGCACACTATGAGCGCGCTACGACATCAGCACCTTCTCAAAGCAACGAAAATGCAGAATTAACCGGCGTAGCAGTTGAAGTTGAGCCCCCGCAGTTACTTGCTGCTCCCGCTATGTTCTTTGGTAACGATATGGCCGGTCCGTCGCCTTTTGATGAGATTGTACAACCACGTCTAACGACAACGACACTGGGAGCCAGCCCTGCGCTCAATGCTCCTCTTGATGGGGGCCATGCTGATAACTTGGAGCAGCCCACAATTGAGGATCTGCAGCGCAACGTGTCCGATCTTGAAAAACATGCTCAGGATTTAGAGACCAAATTGCTGGCCCGAAATCAGACTCTGGCTGAGCAAGAGGAGCGTCAACGTGAAGCTGCTACGCTAGAGCGGCAACAACTGCAGCAACGCCTACAACTAGAAAACTATGTAGCCGAACTGAAGGTGCGCCTTGATGAGCTGGAACATCAATTGCGATCACGGGATCAGGAGATTTCTCAACTGCGAGCAAGCATAGAGGAGCGCGAGCGTTTGGAGGCCGTTGACAAAATGATACAGCCGGATTTTAGCAAAATGGCACCTACACTAGACATGTTTTTTGGCGAAGGGAATAGCGAATCGATGACCAAATCTGGCGCTGATGGTGATCTGTTGGCCACAAATTTTGGGCAAGAGCAACCGGAGCCTGTTGTCGAAGAAGTAATTATACCAAAGAAGGCATACATTTGTCATCCGGAACACCAGCAAGAAGTGGTTGATTTGGGAGTGGATGAAGATCCTTGGGCCTCTGCGGCCGCCGAGCAGTCGTCGAGCAAGCCACAGAACGATGAACGTGTGATGGAACTACAACGTCTGCTAGCAGCAGCTGAGCAACAAAAGGCAGATCTTCAAATGAAGGTGACCAAGCTGATGAAGCGTGTCAAAGAGTATAAATTAAAAGCAGTTACGACTCCAACAGTACCGGACACTGTAAGCTGTTTCAATGAATTGGACAATGCCATTATTGAGGAGCTGAAGAATCAGATTCAGCTCCACGAGACCAAGCAGAGCCGCACAGAAGAGCTTTTGCAGCAGCAAGCGCTGGAGAAGGAAAAACTGATCAAGCGCATAGATGTGTTGACTGCCGGCAATGATCGCATGACCGAACTAAAAGAACGTCAGGATATGGATGTGCAGATGTATCAAGCACGCATACGGGAGCTTCAGGACAAACTCAATCAGCTCGAAAGCTGGGGCGTAGAGGATATAAAACATGACGCAACCCCAGCTGTAGCCGTAACACCAGTATCCAGCGCTGTGGTGGATGAATTACAAAGCAGAATCGATGATCTGCAGGCAGAAAACGTGGAACTCCATGCGGAGTGGCAAGAGCTGCAGACACTGTTGCAAAATGAGAAACAAACGTCACAGCATGCCCAAACAATTGCCAGTGAAGCGATGAGCGAACGCGATAAGCTCCAAGCAAATGTGCAGCGTCAGAGTGACGAACTAAAAATTCTCCAACAGCAGCTTACTCAACTACGTGACGAGTGTCAGGCCAAGGAGCAAGAACTTGTGGCAGCAAAGGCAGCCCAAACATCCGATTTAGGAGCCATAAACAATGACCAAGTGACACAGCTCCAAGAAAGGGAGTCAGAGATTGCGCACCTTAAACAGCGCATTGAGGAACTGATGCGGGAAGATCAGACAGAGAAATTAGTTTTTGAGATATTGACCAAAAACCAAGAACTACAATTGCTGCGCATGCAGGTCAAGCAATTAGAGGAGGAAAAGCAAGAAGAGGAGGAGGAGAGCAAGAAAGCGGCTCCTGGAACCGAGTCGGCCAATAGTGCGCTGCAACTCCAACTAGATGAAATGCGTATGCAGAACCGGTTGCTCGAGCAGGAAAAGGCCGACATGGAAGAGGAATTGCAAATTCTCAACAATCATGTGTTATCTGCACTGGAATTGGAGGACAAGATGAAACAATCGGTACTTGAGCTGGACACCAAAAACATCGAAATCAGCGAGCTTCGCAAATCGCTAGACGCTTTCCAGCAATCGCAGGTTCAGCCGCAGCCTCAATCCCTGCCACCAAGTATGGACAATATCTTGATTAATCAGCAATGGGAAGCCGTTGTGGAGCGAAAATGTAGCGAGGTGGCTAAGGGATGGGAGCAACATCTCGCGCAACGCGAGGCTGACTTCCAAGTAATAGAGAGTCAGCTCCTCTCCCAGATTGAGTTTCTGAAGGCAGCTGCAAAGACAGCGGACAGTACCCAGGGAATTTCCTATGTGACGCCCAAGCCCGAATCAAGCGAAGCGGTTGCTACAGAAACAAATGATATTCTTCTACATATGCAAAAGGCACTGGAGACGCAAGAAATGGAGATCGTTACGTTGAAAGAACAGCTGGCCATACGATCAGCGGAATATGCGCGTCTGGCCGCCCAATATGACCCTTTCCGCTTGCATAACACTCTAAGCGAAAGCGGCGGTAACGGAGGAGCCGTCACAGGCACAACCGGAACGCGGGACTCACTGCCCGAGTACGTTTTGAAAGCCGACCTCGACAATGCGCTAATGATGGTGCACCAGCGCGACATGCGGGTTGAGGAGATGATACTCGAACTGGTGCAATTGCTGGAGGAGCGCGACCATCTGCAACTTAAACTATCGGACACATTGCGTCAATTAGAAGCCGAACGAGTCCGTGCCAGCGATGTGGAGCGTAAGTAAAATCCTAATGGATGTATTTCTAAATTAACACATTAATGTTATAGCGTCCATTCTAGCTGCAAAAACAGGTGCAACAAGTGTAGGCAGCAACTGCGGCACAGCTTCATCCTCAGCTGGCTCCGGTAGTCCCAGCAAGATCAGCAGCAGCAGTGATTTGTCAGCGGTGAACAGTACCAGCGGGGGCGACTTAAAGCAAAAGTGAGTGAGCGGGAAAAAAAAGGTCGCAAGATCAACATTAACATAGATATAAATTCGAAACTTGCTGAAAACCACCAATCGGTCTAGCAATAGGACTGAATTATATACCCTGTACCCAAAGACAAAGTGTATTAGTGCGAATGTAAGAGTATGTAATTTCGAGAAGGTAGCTTAGTAGCGAAGACTCCACGAAGTATGTATATATATTTTTTCTGATCACAGCCAGAATCATCAAACTCCTATGCAGGACCAGTAAGTGTGTGTGTGTTTCTATACCCTGTATTTAAAAGATACAAGAGTATATAAGGTTTGCGAGAAGTGGAAAATGTAACAAGCAGAAGGAGGCGTGGCAGACCCCGCAAAATATATAATCGTTGATCAGCATGACAAGACTAGTCAATCTTGCCCTCTACGTCCGTCCGTATGAACATCTGGATCTCAGAGAGATAGAAACACAAAATGTTGTACATATAAGGCATCTGATATGTTTACTGATATGTTTACTCTCCGATATTGGGGATTTTCCGTATCTCCCGTAATTCTTGGCATTTTTCAATCAAATTTGTCAAATACCTTCAGTTGTTAACTATTTTGTTAATATATATACTATCTTATGTACTATACTAATATTATGAAGAGGAAAGATTTGATTGTTTGTTTGTTTGAATTGAAAAGGCTCCGAATCTACTGGACCGATTTAATGGATTCTTTCACTGTTGCGATAGTGTAGTTTCGACTCGACGGTTAACATGGGCTATATTATATTTGCAAAAAAGAATAGAATCCGTACTAAAACGCCAATAATGTAACCAAAGGTGTACAAGAATTACCTTAAAAAACTCCTGAATAGCATGCCGTTAGTTCATAATCATCCTCGAAACATTTTCACTTTAAATATTAAGGCAATATTATTCAAAAGCCCTCAGCCAAATAAAAGGTTACAAATCGATCGGCACCGTGATTAATATTGAAGACATTTAAATTCACTAAACCCTTTCGTACTGCCGCCACATGAATTGACGGTAAAATTTGGAATTGCAATCATGCTTTTGAGAAATTAAAGCCTTCCAAGCATGTGCAATGGGACGAGGCTGCTTATTAAGGAATTGCAGGCCCAGCAACTGGTCAACTAGATCATATAACGGGGATACCGATGATCCCATTTGATCATTTATATGGCTTCAATTTCCTGTAGCCCCAAGGCCAAGCCTTCGAATTAGTAGGGATCGACATACGAAAGCAATGTTTTACTGTATGTTGACCTGTCACGGGTCGGAGCTCCTGAAAATCAATTTATTTGACCTAATAAATAATAACAAAAAAATGTAAAAACGAAAAAAAAATCATTAAAATAATAATATCCAAAATCAATTTTACTCCTTCTTAGTAAGTCATAGCAAAAAGAAGGGTGTACAGGGTGAGCCATCTTTTATGTCGGTATGTAAACATTGAATATCTTTGAAAATAAACAACCGATTTTCAAGTATGAGATATTTTTATTTAATTTGGTTCTGTACAATTTCTTGAACTGAGGTTTTCAACACTGGTCTACTCAAGTCAATCGGTTCACTAATGACAAAGTTATTCAATATTTACATACCGACATAAAAGATGGCGCACCCTGTATGTGTGTGTTATAAAATTAAACTTTTTTGTAAAAATACCCGTGCGAAGCAGGGGAAGGACGATAGTATTTGATATACACACTTCACAGTTGCGATTTTTATACCCTGTACCCAAAAGGGTACAAGGGTATATTAGTTTTGTGCGAGTGCACATGGAACACACAGAAGGAGGCTTGGTAGACCCCACAAAGTATATATATTCTTGATCAGCATGACAAGCCGAGTCGATATAGCCATGTCCGTCTGTCCGTCTGTCTGTCCGTCTGTCCGTCTGTCTGTCTGTATGAACGCAAGGATCTCCGAAAGTATAAGAGCTAGAATAACCAAACTTGGTATACAGATTCTCCTGAGACCGAGAAAGGACGAGTTTGTTCATTTTTTCTGATCCACCCCCCCACTCCCCCCCTATTAACGATTTTCTATAACTCCCGTAATTCTTGGAATTTTGAACTAAAATTTGGTAGTCACATTAGGTTAGTTATTATATAACCGTATACCAAGTCTCATTATGATAGAATGATCGGAAAGAAAGTTATAGCCATATAACCAGGCCCAATGCACACATACATACATATGTACAAGTACACAAACACGCATAAGGCACGATTCTGATGTAAATGTAAATGTATGTATGCATGCATGGAATATTTTATATTTAATTTAGTTAATTAATTAAATTAATTTAGTTAATTAATTAAATTTAATTAATTAATTAATTTAATTACTTTTTTGTGGGGTGGTACAGGGTATTTAAGAGTTGAGCCTGCTCGACTTTAGCATTCCTTTCTTGTTAAATCAATTATTACATTCTACGGCCCAAATCAGTTTTTAGACTCTGTACATGAAATGTACAAGAGTATGTAACAGGCAGAAGGAGGCATGGCAGACCCCACAAACTATATACATATATTCTTGAACAGCAGTCATGCTGACAAGACGAGTCGATCTATGTCTGTCTGTCCGTCCGTATGAACACCTGGATCTCGGAGACTATAAGAGATAGAGACACCAAATTTTGCACAAAGATGCCTTATGTGCGTACGCTATACGAGTTTGTTTTATTTTTTGCCCCTATGGGAGTTTACCCGATTTTCCATTCGTATAATCGCCTATATCTCGGACACTATAAGACGCAGAAAATGTGTATTTTGGAATTTCCCTCCCTCCCCCTCTCCATCGCAAGTCGTGATTTTCTCTAACTCCCGTAATTCTTGGAATTTCGAATACCCCCAGTAAGTGATTATGCGTCCGTATGCCAAGTTTCATTATGATAGACGGATTTAACAGGAAGTTATAGCCATAAATATAATTTTTTTAATTTCTATAATCATAGTAAGCATACTTGTATGTGCAGAGTATTTCATAGTCGGGACAAGCGACTTTAGCTTCCCAACTTGTTTTTTACACGGTTTTAAAATTAAAAATTTTGTATATTGTAACACGACTTTATTCCATTTAGTACGATTCAAAATAACACAAAATAAAGGAATAAAAACACACACACAGACAAACAGCTAGAAACCATTGGGTCGTTATATATATGTGATTTAATAAAATAGACATAAATCCTTCGTTTTTCACGGATTTTAATAGGCTTTAGAGATAAGGAACCAATCACCATTTTTGCATATGATACTTGTAAATGTATTTTTTCACGGTTCTTTCCGGAATCAATCTACCGTGTAAAAACAGACTTAGGTGACCTTAAAAAGTAACGGCTCAAATTACATAATACTATTATTTCAGACTTGCCGAGCTGCAGACGGTGAAGCATTCCAAAGACAAGGCGATTGTCGATGAACGCGAGCAGCGCTTACAACAAATGATACAGTTACAGAAGGATATGGCCAAGCAGGGCACAACAACCTCAGTGGCGCCAACAACTGCAACAGTGGCAACAACGTCGCCAGCAGCAACACCCATAGGTGCACCTCAGCAGCAGTCGAGTGAAATAGTAGATCTGTGTAAGTTATATAATCCTCTTCTCTCTCTCTCTCTCTCTCTAACACTCTTCTGTATTTATCATTTTCTTTCACTTTCTCCCCTTCCTTTCTTATCGACGTTGTGTACAACAGCGCAAACATCACTGCGTTCATCTTCAATGGCGCTCGTGGACTGGATATTGGGCAGCAATAAGAAAGAGGAAGAGGGCGGCCAACTGCCATCACAAAACTAACAGTAGCTGTTGCCACTAGTGTCTAGGACTTGCAAATTCAAATGGCGTCGTAGCCCTTGAATACTAGTAACATACATTTAAAACCTATTTTTTATATTATAAGGATTTTTGTAAATTAGTTATAAAGTTCGATATTATGTACCTTGAAAGAATGAAACCTAAAAACGAAATATTCCGAATTGTACCGCAGCAGCAGATGAACGTACGTTTTATGTTGTAGATATGTAAAAAATGTAGAAAACAAAAAGAAAAACAAAAGTCGTTAGAATATAATGCATACACACATTTCATATATTTCTGCGTTTTAAGTGATGGAAGCCTAGCTAGGGCTAAACTATTTCCAACAGATAAGAACTTTGTAAGCAATCTAATATGTACTAAAAGGAAGCAAATGAACATCTGCACTCTTAGCCTTATATACTTGCACTTGCCATGTATATATGTATTCTGCATACTATTCATTTGTGAGCCCTGTAACCCAGAAACAAAGCTCGCAGAAAGAGGCGTGGCAAGCCCCGTGCTATAGGTACATAAATGATCACCAAGATGAAACGAATCGATATAGCCATGACCGATTCTACGTCAGAATGTTTCTATGTAAACGAGTATATTTAAATTAATCTAGTATACCCTTAGGGTACAGGGTATAACAAAATTTATGTGTTTTAAGAGCTGGGACCCTGGACTCTAGCATTCCATTCTTGTTTTTATAGCCTGTACCCAAAGGGTGAAAGGCTATACTAGTTTTGTGCGCATGTATGTAACATACAGAAGGAGGCGTGGCAGACCCCACAAAGTATATATATTCTTGATCAGGATGAGAAGACGAGTCGATATAGCCATGTCCGTCTGTCTGTATGAGCGCAAGGATCTCAGTAAGTACAAGAGCTAGGATAACCAAAATTGGAATCAAGGTTCCTATAAGCCCTAGGCAGAACGAGTTTGTTTATTTTTTCTGATACACCCCCCCACTCCCCCGCAATACGTATTTTTATAGCCTGTACCCAAAGGGTGAAAGGCTATACTAGTTTTGTGCGCATGTATGTAACACACAGAAGGAGGCGTGGCAGACCACACAAAGTATATATATTCTTGATCAGGATGAGAAGCCGAGTCGATATAGCCTTGTCCGTCCGTCCGTCTGTCTGTCCGTATGAACACAAGGATCTCAGAAAGTATAAGAGCTAGAATAACCAAACTTGGTTTCCATATTCTCCTAAGACCGAGAAAGTACGAGTTTGAGTTTTTTTTCGATGCACCCCCCCACTCCCCCGCAATTCGTGTTTTTTCTTATAAATTCCATAATTCTCGGAATTTTGAAATCAATTTTGGTAGGTACATCCAGTTAGTACTAATGTGTCCGTATGCCAAATTTAATCATGATAGGTCAATTCTGAAGAAAGTTATAGCCATAAGTAAAATCGCTGCTCATGCGCTGCCTGCAGCTCTGTCGGCAGCGCTGCCCGCAGCTGTTGTTGTTGTTGCTGCTTTGGTTCAACTTTGTGCTGCATATAAACACGCATAGGTAAGTGATGTAAGTGTATGCTGTTAAAACTGAACATAAACATGTATTCTAATTTAATTTAATTTAATTTAATTAATTAATTCATTCATTCATTTTTTTAATAATTTAATTTTTTTTTATTTTAATTTTTCTTTTTTGTGGAGAGTACAGGCTATTTTACTGTCGGGCTTGCTCGACTGTAGCGTTCTATCTTGTTCCTTATAACTTCCGTATTTCTCGGAATTTTAAAATCAATTTTGGTAGGTACATCCAGTTAGTACTAATGTGTCCGTGTGCCATCATGATAGGTCAATTCTGAAGAAAGTTATGGCCATAAGTAAAATCGCTGCTCATGCGCTGCCTGCAGCTCTGTCGGCAGCGCTGCCCGCAGCTGTTGTTGTTGTTGCTGCTTTTGTTCAACTTTGTGCTGCATACATACACGCATATGAACACGCATAGGTACGTGATGTAAATGTATGCTGTTTAAACTGAACATAAACATGTATTCTAATTTAATTTAATTAATTATTTTAATTAATTAATTCATTCATTTTTTTTAATAATTTAATTTTTTTTTAATTTTTTTTTTTTTAATTTTTCCTTTTTGTGGAGAGTACAGGCTATTTTACTGTCGGGCTTGCTCGACTGTAGCGTTCTATCTTGTTTTTACTCAATTCCCTCAGGAACTGTTTACGCACAAGCTAAAAGGACCGTATAACTCCATATACATATAGTACAGAATGATATATCTGCACATGTATATCTTTCGGAAGGTCTTGGGCAGGCTTTTTGATGAGTGTAAGTATATACCTATATTTATACATACATATAACTACCGTTTTTCGTTTGGATACTTTATCGATCAGAAATTGTGTCAGCTTCCAGATACGTGGGGGTGCACCGTAAAAAACCTAAGCTTGGATAGCAGGTTGGGTAATTCTAACTCTTATACTTGTCTATCTTGGCCATGCTGAATCCTTGGTTGCAGGGTATACAATTAGCATGCAAAACTATTGAACAATGTAACTTTAAAAGCCAAAATATTACATTCTCCGCATGATATAGTAGTGAAGGGCTTAGTATATATATCTTCAAGACTTTCCTTCGAAATTGAGTGAATGGATATAGTACTTTAAGATAGCGGTTGGCAATATTCTCAGCGTTCATAGCCTTTAGCTTCACAAATCCGGTTCGCGTATTAGGATTTTTATAAATAAACTTCAAAAAATCCAACTCAGTTTTATTCTGATGCGAAATGTTGCCCCAATTCTGCATATAATAATGAATGTCTGGCCGACTTTATATTGCCTAAAATGTTGCATCTATGCATCTATTTTAACCTAATTGTGTAGTTATTATGTTGATACAGTTTATACGAAAACATAAGATTTAAATCGCACTACGATATTATATGCTGCAATATTGATACTGTGTTTGAATATTAAGCCGCTAATATTCAAATGCTTCTGCGATTTAAGAATCAAACATTTCCCATTGGATCAAATAAAACTCTTTCTACGTATGTATATTGAAATTAATTTAATCAAAGCTTTACATTTTTTTGTTTTACATTTTGGTATATATCCGCATATATGTAACTATGTTGGTATATTAGAAATGGAAGCTGTCGATTTTTGTTCATTTAAGCTCGTTCTCCGTTATAATTTGTGGGCTCGTGTATAAGTTAGTAAGGCTGTTCCCAAATGCGAGTCTTCTACTTAACAAAATAGATTACTAGTTCTAAAATTTAACAGTTAAATATGTATGGAATGCTCATCCAACAAGAATTAAATCCAGTAGAAACAAATATAATACTAAGTATAAGAAAATAAATAAAACATAATATTTATATGAAGATTGAAGCTTGACCCCAAGTGGTTCAAATAACCTGTGACATACAGTAACTGTGAGTTTTTAGATAAGATACATTGTTTTAAAAACAGCAGCAATAAAAGCAAAGATAATCTTGTTATTATATATGTACATGCATAGTTCAAAGATCAACTTCAATTCTTCATATTGGCTTTTAGCTTATCTATGGTTTTCCACCTTACATTTACAAGCACTAACTTGTTTTATTAAGCTGGGAGCCAACGTGTATGTACGAGTATATACTAAGTATATGTATTATGCATTATATTTTGAGTTGATAAACACATATCTAGTATGTACAGCGAAGGTAAGTTTGTATGGATCTACCAAAAAACATTTGAGCGGAAGATGTGGTGGTGGGGCTTACTTATCGGCGCTGCCTGCAGCGCCTGTTCCCGTACCTCCAGAACCAGGCAGTTTGCGGACAGCACCAAACGCCTCGGGCTTACTGCTCTTTCGCTGCGCCTGTGATATTTGCACGATGCGCGAAAGGGGCGAGTGGGTACTACTCGTGCTAGGTCGCATTCCCGCAGCGCCTACGCCTGAGGGCAGCAAACGCGTAGAAGATTTCGGCATATCAGCCAACGGCGGCACCGAAGTGGTCAGAGCAGTGCTAGCCTCATCGAGAGCTGTCGTCGGTGACGGTGGTGAAGCTTCACGCGCCAAAGGCGAGGGGCGGAGGGAAATGCGCCGCTGAAGGGAGGTTTGCGATAACCCGAGTGCCCCCAAATCCTCGTTCAGTGTATCACCAGGAGGAGGGGCTTGCCCAGGCGGAATTTGCAGAGCTGTCGGTCGCACACTGAAGCGGCGCCGGAATTTGCTTGAAACGCCAGTCGAGGAAGTAGATGTGGCCGGAGCTGTAATAGCATTGAGTGGCGGTTGTGGTTTCTCCGTGTAGCTAGGCGGTGGTTCAATCATTTGCATGCCCGAAGGCCGACGACCTGCGACGTTGCCGGCTGACATGGTTCCTATGATGGTGGAGCGTCGTGAGTAAAGGCGATTGGCTGCGGCTGCTTGTAGCGTACGCGTTTGATCGCCGGCAAAGAGCGATAGCATGCCTGGCACTGTGGGTAGATCCAGTCCTGCGTTCCCCATTTTGCGCTGCTTTCGGTCCGCCTTGCTGCTTTTAGTTGGTAGTGGCGCAGCTGCCGCTTGTTGTTGCTCATCCAGTACGGCGTGCGTATGCACCACCTCGAGGGCTCGGATTAGATCTGCAATTGTGGTCTGCTCCAACACGTCCATGTCTTTCTCCGAGGTAACCGAGAAAATGCTAGAGCGGCGTGGTGCAGCAGTCGCCGGGAATAAGCTGCCACGTCGTGCTGCTGCGGTGGCCATAGCGGCTGAGCCGCTGGTGGTTGCCAAGCTACCACGCCGCTGCATTTGCGCCAGTGCTGCCGCGGTGGGAGGATACATGCTGCCTCGGCGTGCCGATGGGACTGGATTCTGCGTGTAAATAGATTCGCGACGTCGTTTTCCCGCCGCTGCTGCAGTGGTGCCAAGAGCCGACTTGCGCTGGTAAGCGCTAGTGTGGGTGCCGGTATTAAAGATGGACTGTTCCGTTTCATCTTGCTGGAAGCCATGATTTGTTATGCCGCCACCGGTTGTGCTGGGTAGACTGGCATTGGAGGCAAAGGGTGGCGGCGGACCGTGCAAGCCGTGCAGACCATTCCGGAAGTTTGCGGGATTAGATCCCGCTGTGACTGTGCTGCTGTAGTAGTCCAAAGATTGACGCTGCGGTAAAGCAGCGGATCCCTCTGGCACCGACACAACTGACAATTTTCGCTCTACATCCTGCGATGGGCGTTTGCGATGGAACAGCCTCCGGAGGCCATCGGGCATTGAGAATTTCTTCACACGTGTACCAACTGCCTTCTTCATGTGATCTTCTGGCTCGTGCTCCTCCATGTGAACCACATAGGGATCTAAGCCGTTCTGCTGACTTTTATATCGATTATTAAAAGCTTCCTGTATCTGCTCGTTGTCACCACTCCAGGTCCACTCATTGTGCGGAACGCGCAGTGGACGCTGGCCGCGCCAGCGCGGTGCTCCAATATTAAAGTCAGAGCAAGCACGAGCACGGGGGTGACGTGGGGGCTCTGAGAACTCATTCATCGTCGAAAAGGACCACTCGCTAGCAAGAATCTGTGAGTCGGAAAATCCGTGATAGCCTCCGTAGAGCGCGGCATCGTCAGCCTCCGGGGGCGATGGCTTCACAGTAGCCAAAGCATTGACCACCTTGGCAAGTAGATCGGTAGTTTGTCGATAGGCCTCCGCCGTTTCGAACGTCTTGGTTCGGTCGAATTTGCTGAGCTCCGTGTCGGAGCTGGCATGGACCATGGGCGTAATACCGTCGCCACGAGCCGCCTCCGCTGCCGCCAGATCTGCGCAAATGGAGTAGGCGCGCTTGCGACTTGGTATGGGTGCCGGATCGATCCGATACATACTGAGCTCTGGACAGGAAGCGGAGCGGGGCAATGTGTAAGCGAAATCGGCATCGGTATAGACGGGCTGTTTTATACATTCGATGTTTCAGTTTCGGGGTTGTAGTTTTGTTGTGGTACATGTAAGAATACACAGGAAGTATATTTGTGTTAGTGTCATTTGGCTTATTGTTTGTATGTGTGTGTGTGTGTTGGTACTCTTGTTGCTCGACTCAAAAATCGGTAAAAAGTGCAATCAAATGGTGCAGATTTTATGCAATTTTGGCAGACATATTTAAGTACTTATGTATGTACATATGTATGTATATACATACATATGTATACAAATGTATGTTTATCGAATATTTTCATTATTTTTTCACATTATCGTTTGAGTGGCTTTTTGTTGTTTCGAATTAGTCTCACACTTGGAATTTCACGTACCTACCCAGTACAAATATACTACGTACTTAAGTATATACATACATACTACAAGTATACATCAGGATTTATAAGTTTATCAACCATGGTTGTCAACCCCTTAGCCAGACAGGGCAGTCGCTAGAATATTTTTAATTCCACGGGCTAATAATAAGCAGTACAAATAGTTTCAAAAGGTTTGAATTATCTGAATGTCCAATAAATTGTTGCTGCAGTCTAAGGGGTTGTACTGGAGAGAATTTGTTTCGCGAATAACTTTTCTTAGAATTGACCGAATTGAATAAAATACAAGTATGTGCAAAGTTTGGTTTAGGTAGCATTTGAAATGTGGACGCTATTGACGAAATTCTGTAGCGGGGGAAGGGGGCGAAATTCCAAAAAATAAAATAAACTCGTCCTTACTCGGACCTAGGAGAATCTGGATGCCAACTTTGGTTATTCTAGCTTTTATAGTTTCTGAGATCCTCGCGTTCATCCAGACGGACGGACGGACATGTCTAGATCGATTTCTCTCGTCATGCTGATTCAGAATATATATGTATACTTTATGGGGTCGGAGATGCTTCCTTCTGCATGTTACATACTTTGCACTAACCTAATATACGCTTTTTACCCTACGGGTACAGGGTATAAAAAGTAAATATGTACAGGTTTAAAGCAGGAACCACAAATAATGATTATTTTGTTTTTCATTCACTTATAGTAACTTTGAGAAAACGAAGATTATACCAATTATATATTTTGGGCTTATCTATGCATATTCGTCATGATTTATAATTTATAATTTTTATTCATTCATTTTTCCACAATATATTGAAGAGATTTGAAAAAATTAAAAAAAAAAATAAAACTTATAAAATAATGAGTATTCTTTAAGTTTAATTTTTTGATCAGAAATCAAGTTCAATTTGTAATTTTGCCTTTTTCGGACAACATTTATTTATATCCTTATCCTTATATCCCTCTTGTGAAATTTTGGGTTAAAAAAAAACGTTTTCAAACATTACTGCTAAATCATTGCCAAAACCAGAGCTTGATGTTGCAAATCGCTGAAATGTAAGTTAATACCTAAATACTATCAAACACTACTTACAGATACATATTTTAAATTTCATCTTACAAAAAATGGGAATCTGTTTAAGATCATCTGATCTTTCGTCGTCTATTTGTATTCAATTTATTTAAGTCTGGCGATTTACTGATTTTATTAATTGGTATACATGGTATACATACATTTAACATTTTACTTACACCTCTGCTTCTTCTTCTTCTTTTTATTATTCTTCCTGCTTTTTTCATTTCCCTTTCGACAAAACTACAAAAAGAGAATGCATCATCAAATAACTAAGTTTAATATCGAGTATAGGTATACGAAGGCGTATGGGTTTAGGTTATTGTAGGCCCGCTTAGTCAAACATTAAGTTGTATGTAGATATGTATCCCGTAATGGCTCTGGTCAAGATTTCAATATAACGGATACGGATATTCCAAGGCGTGTGTGATTAATCGACATTCAAGTGCATTTTGTTGATACATATTTTTGTGTAAAGACTCAAGTTAGTTAAGATTTTAATGTAGCCCCAGTAAATGAACAAATTTGGAACACTGTTTTTTTTTTAGTAGTAAGCCCATAATAGTTTGAACATGCCCAAGCATTACCTTCACTTTCAGTATGTAAAGCTCGTTAAGCAGTCGCCTCAGATAGCCAACATCCTTGGTAACGCCAGTCCAGATGCGATTCTGCGTAGCCTTCAAATTGGATGAAAGCTGTTGTTCCAGTTGAGCTAGTTTCTTGCTTTGCAATCCGCTGTAAATAGTGTGTGTGTTGGACAATGAAGACATGGACCCCATGTCATGTAAATAAATGGTCCATAGTGGGTTAAAGTAAAATGTTCCCAGCATGCAAACAAGACACAAATTTGTACATGCTTAGAAATACTCGGTTACGTCTCTTACCGTGTAATGAAGGTCATGACCATTACCAAATAGCCCAGCGAGAATATAAACCAGACAATCACAAAAATTTGATAGACCACAAACCAGCCGCCAAATTCACTGGGCTGTAAGTATTACAAAAGAATAGAGTCAAGTGTAGAAATGAGGGAAAATGGGTAAATGGGTGAGTAGCTGAGACATACACGTTAAAAGGTAGATAACAAGAAACAACACATTCATATGACTATATCCGGTAATTCGCCTGTTGTATTTCTCTCCTCTTTCAATCACTACTTTTCTAATATTTTAAAAGCTATCAGGCTAAATTTTGCATATAAGAACAATAGTCTTTCGATGACGATCCTTTTCACTGCTTATAGGGGGATTTTGTGTAAGACCTAACGATGATGAATAAATAGTTCTGATTACATCAAATCACGACAACTAATGATCAAACGCTAAAAGAGAAAATGTGATTTATGGTGACGAAGCCTGTATCAATAATGTCTTTGTGTAACCAGAACCATTTGGTCATGGTTACAGTGTTTGGGCTTCCCGGACATCACTCTAAGCTCGTATGTCAACTTTTCAACCCAGCGGCGCAGAACTTTACTTTGGCAAAAGGAGGGGAAGAGTCCGCATAGACAGCACCCATTTTGTTTTTGATTAAAAACAAATATCTTATGACCGCAAGATATTGAAATTTTTAAAATCTGGAGGTAAGGAAACTCCGGAACACCCCATATGTAAACTGCACTAGCGTCATATAGTATGAAACATCTCAACACTCACCGTCTTCTTCCCCTGGGATAAGCACAGCAAAACAATCTTCTAAAACGCTATTGACATTTTCCAAGGATACGCGACATCAGCGGTATCGTTAAAAGGCTCCTAACAACCTTCATTATCCGATAGTTAGCGAACAGTCACCACTAAAAGTGAACTGGTCTACCATCAGTTAAAGAAAATTAAAATGAGCTCTTTTACTTTGACCTTTGAACATGTTTATGATTCAGCAGATAGTTATTTTTGATATGGTCTTGAAATCTCTGCAGTGTCTCTATGAAATTATTGAATAAATATACATCATGTATTTGCAATATTTACCTGATTGGCACCAAAGGTGGGCACATAGTCGCCAAAACCAATTGTCGTTGTCGTAACGTAGCTGTAATATAGAGCTATCGAATAGGGCCAGCTCTCAAAATATGAGAACACCCAGGAAGGCAGCAAAATGAAGAGCGCAATGCCCGGAATGAGGGCTATAGCCACAGTGGTGATCAGTCCTAACTGGGGTGGAACATAGTGCAGATCGCTCGACATTTTGTACTTCTTATAGCGGCGATAGATGGCCTCAAACTAGATCGATGAGAAGTTCAATTGATTGTACGAATTTGTATTACTATATACAACTATACACGAATAATATTCAGTATATTTATACTTGTAGACGCGCTTACCGTGCGACCAAAGTATTCTCCCAAGCCTGCAAAAAGTATTCCATTAACCGGTATACCGATCATTGAGTATACTATCATAATCATCCGTCCTAGCGTCGTTGTAGGAGATATGTTGCCATATCCCACGGTTGAGCATACCGTAAAGGCAAAGAAGAAGGCATGATAGAAGGTCCATGTGTAGGGTATATCTGATTCATCCTGCGTGTGGTCCGTAACCGGTTTGCCACAATAATTGCCGATCCTTTCCAAAATCTCTTGCTGCACTGTCGCATTCTTATCGGCCAGCTCCGACACCAGATAATCTACAAAACATTCACAGAACCCCGAAGGCAATCAAGCATAAAATTAAATCAATTTTAATTAACTCTATTACATGCTGTTGCGGAAGCGCTCGGGCCCACTCAAGCGGACGGCCGATCTCGTTACTAACGCCATTTAACCTTCCGCTTATCCAAAAATTGCAAAACAAATCAGAATTAACAAATAAAAGGCCGTAGCACAGAGCACACAAATTGTTGCCACCCATAGCCATATCCAATAAAGAGACCGAAATCGTGGGCATGCCAGCTTTTTCTATGCACAGCAATTTTCATACATACAAGTACATATGTTTATACTAGTATGTATGTTCGTGTATACGTACATATCTACTATATACCGTTAGCGATCGCTGTTCCCTGATAAGGCCATTTGCATACTGGGACACACACATACTATACACACCCACAGAATTACATCGGTCGGCTTTTGCCCTCGGTGTGTGGCATTTACACGGGCACTTGCTATAAACAATTACCAGATCACATAACGTCGCCATTAGGCAATGATCATCGCGATCATGATCAAGATCATGACCAATGTGATTTAAGTGTGATATGCGGGAATGTGACAAATACTATCTGTGCGTGCTTTGGTAAACGACCGTACCTACAAGTATATACATATGTACATACCTATACTCGTGATTTCTGACTAATAGGGCTGCTTATTGTCTGATTTTCTATTTGATCATAATGTTTCCTGGCGCAGCCTCACCGAATTAATATAAATTGTTCTAGTTCTAGTATCTGTAGTTTTGCACACAAAATTAAAAAATTGTTCCGCGTTTGTTGTTGATCGCCATGGCGAGCGGGGTAGAGGTTGCAGCATTGGGAAGGATATCAGAAAGTATAGAGCTAGAGTCACAAAACACAATGTTTTGTTTATGTAACTTTGAACAGGATTGACGAAACTCTATTGCGTGGGGAATGAGGGGAAGGTGTGTGTTATTGTGAAACACAAAATGTGTGTATAATAACCTATATAGTATGTCAGAGACATCAGAGCTGGAGAAATTTGATTTGATTCCAAGTCCAACTCCCACAATCTTGCGACTTTTAAGCAGATACCTCCACTTAGTGATTATGTGTCCGTATGTCAAGTTTTATTAGGACAGTTTATTTAGTTTATTTTTTTTATATTTATGTTAAAGGGGTGAAAAGGGTATATTAGTTTCCTGCAAAGAAGGTAACAGTATATGGGCATGTCTCTAGAAATGTCAACCGCAGCAAAAAAATTCAAAGTCTGTAAAAGTATGATGTTTTAACATATTTGTATAGAGAATCAATCAAATTTAACTAATGTAATCAAATATTACATTTATTCATAACACATTTCGAAAAATTCAAATGAAAAGTCGAACAACTGCAAAAGTCAAGTTTTGAACACATCTGTTGCACGTTTTGTTTTGATTACTGTTCTTAATGAGAGACATTATGCATTGATATTTGCTCTATAAAATATTGGTTTATATTTAAGCAATATAAGAAAAATGTAAAAGGAACGATGCGATTGCCAATTACGGTCAATTTTTAACTTTGCTTTAAGGTATATTTGGATGTCGCGTGCGACATAATAAAAAAATAAACTTGACCTGCCTAGGGCTTATGGGAATCTGGATACCGAGTTTGGTTATTCTAGCTCTTGTACCTTCTCAGATCCTTGCGCTCATACACACGGACGGACGGACAGACAGACGGACGGACGGACATGGCTATATCGACTCGGCTTGTGACCCTGATCAAGAATATATATACTTTGTGGGGTCTGCCCCGCATCCTTCTGTGTGTTACATATATTCGCACAAAACTAGTATAGCCTTTCACCCTTTGGGTACAGGCTATAAAAATTCTAAAACAACCTTATTTATATACATATATACATACAAAATATCACTTTAAAAACGTATTTTTTGTTTGTTTTAAAGCTTCTATTCGAAAAGCTATTAAAAGCTTGTATGGGCAAAATTTTAATATTTTCGAATGGAAGCTGCAGTCAATTCAAAAATAAATATATTTTGACAAGCTTGACTGACATAATTAAAGATATTGGATGCTTGTATATCGAATGGAATATTTTGCAAGTTCTCACGGGAAGGGAGCAGTTGATGGCCTTGGTGCCGTAATTAAAAGAAAAGTGTGGCAAATAACCAAATCGAAAAACATTGTTTTAGAGGATGCTCTTTCCTTTTATCATTGTGCAGAAAACAACATTAATAGAACTAAAATATATTTTATGCCTTCTGCTGAAATTGAAAAGTTGTCCCTTCATTATAAGTTAAACGAAAAATGGAAGGAAGTGAAGAGTATACTAGGTATATCTCAGTTACATTCATTTATTTGCGATGGCCCTCAGGTAAAAGGAGCTAGGACTGCATATTCCATTAAATACAAGATAGAACGCTACAGTCGAGCAAGCCCGACAGTAAAATAGCCTGTACTCTCCACAAAAAGGAAAAATTAAAAAAAAAAAATTTAAAAAAAAATTAAATTATTAAAAAAAATGAATGAATGAATTAATTAAAATAATTAATTAAATTAAATTAGAATACATGTTTATGTTCAGTTTTAACAGCATACATTTACATCACGTACCTATGCGTGTTTTTATGCGTGTATGTATGCAGCACAAAGTTGAACCAAAGCAGCAACAACAACAACAGCTGCGGGCAGCGCTGCCGACAGAGCTGCAGGCAGCGCATGAGCAGCGATTTTACTTATGGCTATAACTTTCTTCAGAATTGACCTATCATGATGAAATTTGGCACACGGACATATTAGTACTAACTGGATGTACCTACCAAAATTAAAAATTCCGAGAATTACGGAAGTTATAAGAAAAAATACGAATTGCGGCGGAGTGGGGGGGTGTATCAAAAAAAATAAATAAACTCGTTCTGCCTAGGGCTTATAGGAACCTTGATACCAATTTTGGTTATCCTAGCTCTTGTACTTACTGAGATCCTTGCGCTCATACAGACAGACGGACAGACGGACATGGCTATATCGACTCGTCTTCTCATCCTGATCAAGAATATATATACTTTGTGGGGTCTGCCACGCCTCCTTCTGTGTGTTACATACATGCGCACAAAACTAGTATAGCCTTTCACCCTTTGGGTACAGGCTATAAAAATATATATGTGGCATAAGTAATGCTATTAAGTATATTATTATACTCTGTACATGAAATGTACAAGAGTATATTAGGTTTGCGGGAGCTGAAAAATGTAACAGGCAGAAGGAGGCGTGGCAGACCCCACAAAGTATATATATTCTTGATCAGCATGACGAGACGAGTCGATCTAGCCCTGTCTGTCTGTCTGTCCGTCTGTCCGTCCGTATGAACACCTGGATCTCAGAGACTATAAGAGATAGAGACACCAAATTTTGCACAAAGATGCGTTATGTGTGTATTCTATACGAGTTTGTTTTATTTTTTTGATTTTCCCCCCACTTCCCCTCTATGGGGGTTTTCCCGATTTTCCATTCGTATAATCGGAGACTATAAGACCTAGGAACACCAAATTTTAGTCCCAGATGCCTTATGTGAATACGCAGAAAATGTATATTTTGGAATTCCCCTCCCTCCCCCCTCTACCCCGCAAATCGTAACTCCCGTAATTCTTGGAATTTCGAAATACCCTTTTGGAAATACCCCCAGTTGGTTATTATGTGTCCGTATGCCAAATTTCATTATGATAGACCGATTTAACAAGAAGTTATAGCCATAAATATATTTGCTGCTGCAGCGCTGCTCAAGCGCTGCTCAGCGCTGCCCGCGGCTGTTGTTGATGTTGCTGTTTGGTTGACTGCGAAAATGCTTACACAGACACGAATAGATGCGCATAGGCATACATACACTCACACAGACGCAATTGCTATGTAAATGTGCAATTATACACCCTTTACGTTAGTTCGAATACCGAGAGAGGTAAAATCGATCAAATTTTTTTTTTATTTTCTTAATTTTTTTATTTTCTATAATTATTGTAAACATATGTACAGAGTATTTCAAAGTCGGGACACCCGACTTTAGCTTTTTTACTTGTTCTTATATATGTAGATGAACACACATTTTTGTTTTTCTTTATTGAAGAAAATTTGTTATAATTTTTGTTTTGGAAAACAAAAATATGTATATAACAATCATTTATAATCATCTTATGTATTTCTAATTGCATATAAAGTAAAAAAAAAAAACATAAAAAGTATGATGGAGGAAATGTCGCGTGCGACAGTGATTAAAATTAAATAATAATTAAACTACATAATATTTTTGAAACAAATAAAAAGCATTATTAGGATACATCAATGCATAACATCTTAAAATTAGTCGCATTAAAATATTCCTTCAGGTTTCGCTCAAATCGGTGTTTGAACTGTTCGCCGAGAAAGCGACTTCTATATATGTCGCGTGCGAATGCCTTGGTTTTTTTAAATTATCTGGAAAACTAACCGAATCCCAAAATCCACCTTGATTTCCCCCCTATGGGGGTTTCCCCGATTTTCCATTCGTATAATCGTCTATATCTCGGAGACTAAAAGACCTAGGAACACCAAATTTTAGTCCCAGATGCCTTATGTGATTACGCAGAAAATGTATAATTTGGAATTTCCCTCCCTCCCCCCTCTCCCCCGCAATCTTTAACTCCCGTAAATCGGTCTATCATAATGAAACTTGGCACACGGACACATAATAACCAACTGGGGGTATTTCCAAAATTTTAGTTCGAAATTCCAAGAATTACGGGAGTTAGAGAAAATTGCGAATTGCGGCGGAGAAGGGAGAGAGAAGGAAATTTGGTGTGCCTAGGTCTTATAGTCTCCGAGATATAGGCGATTATACGGAAAATCGGGAAAACCCCCATAGGGGGGAAGTGGGGGGGGGGGGAATCAAAAAAATAAAAGAAACTCGTATAGAATACACACATAACGCATCTTCGTGCAAAATTTGGTGTCTCTATCTCTTATAGTCTCTGAGATCCAGGTGTTCATACGGACGGACAGACGGACAGACAGACAGACAGGGCTAGATCGACTCGTCTTGTCACGCTGATCCAGAATATATATACTTTGTGGGGTCTGCCACGCCTCCTTCTGCCTGTTACATTTTTCAGCTCCCGCAAACCTAATATACTCTTGTACATTTCATGTACAGAGTATAAATATTCCATACATGCATGCATACAAGTACATTTACATCAGAATCGTGTCTATGCGTGTTTGTGTACTGGTACATATGTATGTATGTATGTATGCATTACATAATTATGTCAAATCAGCAACAAATACAGCTGCGGACAGAGCTTGGGCTTGGTTATATGGCTATAACTTTCTTTCTAATCAACTTGTCATAATAACTTGGGATACTTGGGATATATAATCACTAACTGGATGTAACTACCAAATTTTAGTTTAGGCGTAGGAGAATCTGAATACCAAGTTTGGTTATTCTAGCTCTTGTACTTGCTGAGATCTTTGCTTTCATACAGACGGACGGACATTTGAAGACATTTGAATTTTTTTGATTTTCCCTCCACTCTCTCCGATACAGAATTTTGTTAATATAGTACTGTCCCTATTTCAAAAGCAACATAAACTAATCTTGCACACGTTTGCTAACAATTTATGTATATATGAATATCTACTTTTGTTTCAAATTTCATCCAAATCGGTGGGGTCTAAGAAACGTTATTAGCGAAACAATTTCCCTCCAGTACTACGCCCACAAACTGCGTCGAGTTAGCGCTTCTTCTACTTTTTGCTTCTGCTAGAAGCCCATATAACTCAGTGTCCGAAGTTCGTCTGGGTTCAGGGTATTTCATTGGCAAAGAGCATTTCAGAGTCGGGCCAGCCTACTTTAGATTTTCCATTTGTTTATAGCTACTTTTATGCAAAATAAATACATTTAGTATGTTGATACGTACTTTATGATATGTACTTATATATGATAATGTGCTACGAGAAAATTTATTTCTGGGCGCTTTCGGTTGCCATTATGCAGCCATTTAACAGCCGAAGCGTAATCTTGTTATAAACATTAGTCCATATACTTGTAGAAATAGCATTTATAATACTTGTTAAGGCTTTAATCTGAGAGGCAATTGCAAGTAATTTCATAAGTGTTCTGGCCGATATTTATCAAACAAAAGGATTCCAGTGAGCGGACTGCAAGTGCATACAATACAATTGTTTGGAACCCATCTCGACGGCAGTGCACCCACAAATTGCACTGCAGTCAGACAGACAGACAGACAGACAGAGAGTCAGACAGACAGACAGACAGACAGACAGCCAGTCACTTATAGGCCCGCCATATAGTTAAAGATAACAACTGCAGCGATTTTTGTTGCACTTGTTGCTATTGTTGCTCTTGATTGTGGCAATTTTTCCATAGAGCTAAACGATGTCGTCGGTAATGTTGACGTCGATCATTAGCACCAATTCTTGTAAATCTTTAGATCTAAGCAGAGCCGTACTCAGGCACGTACACCTACATATGTATGTACAAGTATGTATGTAAGCAATAGCTATACGTGTATGTGTGCGTACGCGAATGTCCGTAGATTTACTTGATTTGACTTTTGTTGTCATACATACATACTTGTACATATGTGTTGTACATAGACTTCAACATATGTACTATACTTACGAATGTTGTGTATGTACATATGTACATACATACATATGTTTGCATTGTAGTTGAATCATTTATTTTGAATAGCTTTGCCATTTACGAGTAAAACGCCGGAAAAGTTTGTGCCAAACAAATTGAAAAATTAATTTAATTAATGTGAGATCGGCATAGTTGTTGTCGTTGGAAATTGATAACGATTGGGTGATTGTGTTGGAGAGATTACAATAAAGCCTTAACTGCTAAGAATGCACGCTATTCCCACATATGCACTTCCTTAAAATGGTTTTAAAAGCTGAACACTTGAAGTCTTCAAGCCACTTGTTATCTCCGTCTGTCTGCCTGTCCGCCTGTCCGCCTGTTGGACGAGCGCCTATATTTTGAAAACGATCTGACCCAGAAAACACCTGGAAAACAAGAGTTAATTTGATTTTGTTTTATCTCTCTCTTTCCGCTTCTCTTCTCTGCTGTAGAGTTTCATCAAACTGTTTGTCGATAGTGTCCATTCTCTTTTCCTTTTAGGTCGTCTTAATTTCTCAGTACCCCGCAGAATAACAAGAAATTATCTTTTCCTTTTCCGTAACTTAACGGGTTTTAACCTACATATATACCTATAACCTATTAACCAATAATAAATATTTTGACCTGCTCTCAACCGAACTGTCTCTTCTTTTAAGTTAAGTTTTCGCCTCTGATATTATTTTGTCATTTGATTAGATTCCTCCTACTTAGGCTTTCCTGGCCTATACGGTTTTCATACCCGGTACCCAAAGGGTGAAAGGGTATATTAGTTTTGTGCGAATTTATGTAACACACAGAAGGTGGCGTGGCAGACCCCACAAGGTACATATATATATTGATTAGGGTGACAAGCCGAGTTGATATAGCCATGTCCGTCTGTATGAACGCAAAGATCTCAGAGCTAGAAAAACTAAACTTCGTATCCAGATTCTCCTAATTCCGAGAAAAGACGAATTAGTGTTTTTTTTTCTGATACACCCCTCCACTCCCGAGCTATTCGAAATTTTCCATAATTCCCGTATTTCTTGGAAATTTTCATTGAAATAAGGAAAGTAGCTCCAGGTATTGAATTTGAGTCCGTATGCCAAGTTTCATATTGATAAGCCGATTTAACAGGAAGTTATAGCCATATATATATGACAGTAGTGCCCGCAGCTGTTGTTGTATACTTGTATATTGTTTTCCTATGTCGACAGTCAATGTTTATTGAAATAAATAAAAAATAAATAATTACATAAAACATAAATAAATAAAATAGTCAGCCGATCTGTCGACTTCATTCTTTGGTGTTTAAGAATCTTAAAAGAATAACTTGATGTTTGTTTAGAAAGTCAAGGTAGGCATTAGAAAAGGTTATCCATTTAACGAATGACTTAAAGCAGAATAATAAGATTCTTCTAGTCTACGAACACTTTAATTTCCGAGCAACTACTGCATGATTATGATCCATATCGGCTTAATATTGCAACACAGTATTTCCTTGCTGATAGCAAGGTACTACGAGTAATGTGCGGCACTTAAAGTTATTCGTGTCGTGCTTGTTCAATGCGAATTCGTTGAAGTGGTTTTGAAGCCCAGGTGATTAAACTGATATTGGCATACATACGTATAAGTACATATATATGTACATATACACATATTTACGTATTATATGTATACTTACTTATTAAATATGTACACCTGATAAAAGCTGACCATTCACTGTTGAAATGCCACGACACTTAGAAGATCTTTGGGCGCTATTTTAGGGTATTTGAGAGCAGTACGAGCTGTACGGATAGATAAGTCAGCACAGAGATGCTTACTCGGAAATGTAGTGAGTGGTCCTTCTCTGAAGTACTGACAAATCTCATAAAAATTCAATGCACGTCTTCCCTCGTCGCAGTCTAATTAGAGCGCTTATAGTTTGTTTATCTGTGCAATTAGCGATTTTTATGGGCTATTGCTGTTTAAATTCGGGTTTTTATTGCAATTTATTTGAGGCTAAATAAAACTTGTGAACTTTACGTGTAGACGTGTAGGAATATTCATAGGTTTTTGTATGCACAAGACAAATATTCACAACCGAAAGTCGCAGACTTGTTAAATCATAAAGATCACACTTCAAACATTTACGCACGTTTTCTTATACGAGTATATACGAGTAGTATGTATACATATGAGTATGTACATTTTTGTGGACTTTACATGTATACATACACACGTATACACTTAAAATAAAGTTCTGCATTCTAAAAAAAGCGCGTGGGTCGCAAGTTATCAAGAGTTGTGTGAATTTTTTACGTAAGTAGTGTGTGGGCGAAGTTGTAAATGTAGTGGGGAATATTCTTTATTAATAACAATTTGAAGTCTTTATATGCATGTAAATGACCAGCATTAGGAATCCGTGCTCTTCTGAAATCACAACCAAGAATAGCTCAGATAAGCAGCCACAATCTAAGATCAATAAACTTGACGGGTATTTCACATTGATAACAATTTGTGTCTCTCAGTATAGCTTTGTCAAAATGTAGACTTAAAGGCCAAATAAGATCGATCAGCGAATAGTACAGTTTTAAAATTTCATTTATTTTCTTTGTACTTGTAGGTTCACTTTCCTTCAAAATACCCCTTAAAAAGAGCATTCAAAAGTAAATAAAGTAAAGCTCGTGATCCCTAGGGATTAGGAGAGCTTACATACCAAGAGCCTCCACACTCATACTTTATGGAGTCGGATAAACTTGCTTCCTTCCTGAATATTGCGTGCATATATGTACATATATATAACAGAAGTTTGTCCTTTCTCGTGCTATTATGCTACTATTTCGCGAGATTTGCCTCAACACAGACAAACTATCGAACAAGAGGACATTCGAAAGAAGTACCTGTATAATCACAGATTCGATTTGTAATCAAATTCCAATCATTTGCGAGAACTTATGCATGTACTTCTAAAATGTGTACATATAGTAAAATCAATGTTTTATATACTCGCGTTCAGTTGAGTATAAGAACCGAAGTGCTTAAATTTAGTACCCACCATAAATGATAATGCGTTCCTTCAGCTCGGCGGAACGATTTATCTTCTCCAAGCCATGTTCGATGTGATAGTAGATTGAGGCACCAAACATTAAATATGATATGTAGAAGATGAGCAAAAGGATCCAACGTCTTGGCGACATGCTCAGGTGTCGCAAAAGTTTTACTTGGCTATCTGCAAGATAGTTGTTGTCTTTAGTTAGGAGCTGCATTCTCTTGCACTTCAATTTTTAATCACATGCGCGACAAATTGTTTGAAACCTCACAATAACAGGGAATAACAGGGAGCATTGTTTATGGTTTCAATACATACTATAATATTTCTTTTTAATCGGCATTTGATTGCGATTGCTCAAGTGCCTTCTATCTGACTCGCTTAAAATGTTGTCTACATGAATTTGCCGCTTATACATATGTATACAATATATTTATAAATATACAAGTATACTATGTACTTAGTATACATAGCATGTTACTCGTAGATTGCTTTGGGTATTGGTATGGGTAAGGGGTATGACTTTTACCCACAAGTTGCTTGTCCTACTACAAAGAGCTATTTTTTAATGGCTCAATGTGGTTTTTCTTATCGCATGCCCGATTCTTGCAGCGGAATTAACAGGTGGACTTCTTAATATTGGGCATTTAGTTACGCTTTTGCATTCTTAGCGTGTTGAGCTCTTGTGACTTTTGGTGCTTTGTCAATTGTTTCTCGCGGGGCCATCATATAGTACTAGGCGTATAAGTCTCAAGATTCTCTATGGCGACACGATCAAGTGCAGTATATTGTAGTACAATCAATGAAACAACATACAAAGTAATCCCAGGGATCCCCAAGTAGGTAAAGACTGCCTCGGAGGCGACAGGGGAAAAATATAGTACATTGTGTGTGTTTGTTGTGTAAGTATACTCAGATATCTATGATTAGATTTCCTTACTGAAATATTTACACAACTCAACGACGTCATCTAAAGCCCAGATGGAGCGTCATTAGCCATTTTCCATTGCCATTTCTACCGCCTGCGCAACAGCACTTATTGACATTTCTAATCATATCACCAAGGCGAATACTCGTACTCGTACTCGTAGGTATTCCTGCTAATTTGTACGATCTGTTTTGCTTCGGTACGATTACGACTACGAGTATAGCTACGATTAGCAGCTACAGCAGTAACAGCAACAGCAACAGCAACAGCGGCTCTCTTATCTGCCTGAGATTAGGTGCAAGTCAGGAAAACGGATGACGACGACGACGACATGTTTCCCGCCACGCAGAGGGTGGTGGGTCTTCGGTGATGGGACTTGGCATTTGAAAATGTACAGCAAACGATCAGGCAGCAGCTAACACCTCGGGCCACCAATTAGCGCAATTGCCACAGCTCTCTGACGAGTCTGGTCAGTAGTCGTCGTCATTGATTCCGCCCTAAAGCATTGATAGCTGGTTTCTTTATGCGCTCGGCCGACTGTTGACTGTTGACTACTGACTGGCTGGTGACTGGTGACTTCTTAGGTATAATCATAAAGATAATGTTGCCATTATGATGCCATTTTTACTACAATTAAATCATGTTGAGGTAGTTCCGTGCTTATCGCTGACGTACTGTTGATACCACAGGTCTGGTCTGTGACTATTGGCTTAAGTAAGAGTAGACTTTGAGCAGACACTGGGAGTACATATATTTATGCTGTATTCCAAGGAATTTGAATCACGACTATGCGCCTCACGTGGCATGTGGCATGTGCGTAGGAAGTGAGGTTTTTTGTGATCTGGCTATGTCAAAACTATGTACTCGTACAGTATTACTTTAATAAAAAAGGCCCAAAACTATGTCAGAAACTTTCGAAACACTCACATACTAGTCCATTTATCACTAATTCTCGAATGAAAGGGAACAGAATATTTCATTTTAGGAAATAGCAGAAATCGTACGAAGCTCACTAAGCATTGTGAATCGATCCGAACTGGGTGTGCTGCAGCATTTAAATAATTGATGACCATATTTATACTATAATTTAATTGTTTTAGCTCATATATTTATTACAATATTTTTTAGTAATTCATAAATGTAACATCTAAAGAGTTTTCAAATTAGTCAGTTCATTTAATGAAGAACACAGAACAAAGTTTTCTAAGGAATAAATAATACCGGTTTTTGACTTTCTACATTTCATTCGTATTAGTTATTAGTAGATGAAATAGTTTAAATAGTTTAAAGCTGGAACTGGATGCACTCTTCCTCCGTAGAACTGGGTTTTAAGAAGCAATTGCACATACTAAATTAAAATTGCATTGCATTCGAAATTCGTATTTTCTAAAGATATATACATATTATATCACTGTATTTTGATTCCAGCATTAAGAATACGAATAAGCTGCCAAATAATATTATGTTTTGATTCAAGTTATGTGTTATCGTACTATTTATGAAATTTTTATAACTCAAAGCATTTTATTTTATTGTTTCGAAATGTTGGGCATGTCGTATTTTTGAATACTTTGTATGTTTAATTAATCAATCAACAAAAGTATGCCATTGCATAATATTTCATGTACAAGTATATAGTCGTACTGGGAATTTCTGTGCATCGGCTTTGAAGAACCTGACAACTACGACAATTTTGTAGATATTGGCACAAAGACATGCATACATACAAGTATGTACATATGTATGTATTCATAGATTATTATTATACAACTTTTAATTCATATAGTATATACTTATATTTGCAGTTCACATCAAGTGTTGGTTCTTTTATAGCTGATTATATGTGTTGAGACATATGGAAACTTTTTTTAAATTATCAAATTCCATCTAATAGAGGAAAAACTCCAGAAAATATACGAGTATATCGGCTTGTAAAAAAGGTCACACCAACCAATTTGACTGTGATAACTTATTTGTTAACAATAAAAATTGACTGTAGGGCGTGACAGAGATATATAACACAGCTCTTTTCGTTTACCTATTTCGTTTCAATATTTTATTGCAAACACAATCATTTTGATGACGTTATTTGTTATTTGCTTTTATTTAAAACAACTTTTTTGGGCTTGTCACATTCGATGGAAAATGGGCGAAATGTTTAATGCTAAACCGAAAAAATTCCATAGACATTAGAAAACACTGCAATTCGATTTTTAAAATCTTGGTATTGCGCAAAATAATGACACACTTTTTTGAGTTACAGAAACATTGCTTTATGAACAGGACACTGGAGGTCAGTAAGATTTTCGTCTTAATTAAGGCAGACTGATATGAACTAAGCTAGATACTGAATTGAAGAGAACCCAAAAGGGGAAAGGGGTTTTCCTATGTGCAGGAAAGGGTAAGCTTATATTTATTATAAACCGGCATTCTATGTTGCAAGTATTACTGAAATTTCGATTTTCAATGCAACCTATATTTTTTGCTAACAATTTACATTACATTTTCAAAAATACAGATAATATAGAAACAACCTTCAGTGGACTACTTGTCTTTTAGATTTTGAAGGTTAAGGACTATCAATGTGCACGTAAATGAAACAGAATGCAGGAGAGAAATATAGGAAGAACAGATCATAAATATGTGTTGCTGCAAGAAGATTAGGACTAAAATACCCCAAAATTAATTATGGCAAGTAATAAAAGGATTTTATGGCATCGAAATTAGAGCTAGACTTCTATATATCATTACTATTGAAGACAGCATAAATTTAAAATTACGATTCCATACGAAAGCAAATAAATACATGGAAACCTGTAGCGCCATCGATAATAATTTCGATTCTCATGCAGCGACAATGATTTGTCTATTTTGTTTTAAATTTTTGACGCGTGATATACCATCCTTCGACGAATATCTTCTTTCAGTTTCGTCCAATGTCATCACCTAAACAATCCCGACCAACGGCCATTGAGTCCATTCACACGTGGCTGCACATTGTAAAACCGTGCTATTGCCCACATTCAATGATCATGTAAATTGTTTTAATCAATATTTGACGTCAATCAGGGTGCGATAACAACAGTCCGTTTAATATAGTCATATAAACTTGACTAATTAGAATTCAAGAGAAGTTTTATAGTGGCTCAAATTTTGAGCAGTGGTGTTAGTATAGGCGCGCGAGGAAGGATCATCCGGCTGTGTTACCCGGGAGCTGAATCGGTCGAACTCTACACAGGGGGTATAAGTACGTACATATAGGTATACATACATACATACTATATGTACTTATTTCACCGGTGACCTCAGCGATGATGCTCGTACGTGCAGAAAATGTCAGAGGCAGAAAATTATGTTTATTATACTTATATTATTGTATTGTATGTATGTATAACATCGTTATTAAATACAAAATATTTACATACGAGTATACTCAACGCTAAATACTCATATAATCAATAATAAATGGCAGCAACTACAAATGAACACGTTTAGTAAATAATCACGGTTAGCATTTCTGGCGGTGTTTTTCATATGACATAGCGGCGCCAACGTCGCCAATGACGACCCCGCACATAGGCGATGGTAGCTCCAAACTGGTGTACCTCCAAATACATATATAGTATACGAGTATTAGTACTATTTACTTACTAAATGCATACTCGTGTACTTGAATTTGTGTCTTTAAGATTTTCTTGTCAGGCACGGCAGAACTTGAAAAGTGTAATCAAATACATGTTGCAAGGTATTATAGTGTGTTCGACTACATTGATAGCTAGAAATGATTAAATAACGAAATTATTTATCAGAACTCGATACTCGTATTAAACTAGCAGACTTTTATCCAAAGCTTGGTTTCTCTCTTGCAAGAGTTCCCAATAAATATTATTAATTGAATTGTGATCTATCAATGTCTCGTTTCGTCTTCCTCCCTGATAAGATTTCACCATCATAGCTTCTTGATGACTGACTTTGACGTCGTTAGTACCACCCTCATGTTACAAGTCAATTAATAACAGTGTTGACAACCAAGTGTCGATAGTAAGTATATGCTTAGTAGCGACCCTATCGAGAGCTGATTGATTGCCAAGTAGCGGATGGCAGTGATCGTCGTCAGCTTTGAACATTCGCTTATAGGAACCAACATATAAACAAGGTATGCCTGTCCAATACGCACATGATTGATGGAAATATATACCAATGGGTATTACGGACTGGGTAAGCGCCACTTAAGCACCCACCCAACACCCAGAAGCCGTCTTAAACTGATAAAACTGGTCAAAGCCCCAGCAACTTGGTAAATGTCATGCCTACACACTCATATACTATAGGTATCACAATGATTCACAGTGGCCCAAATGTTGGGTGGGGGCGAGTTCCTGAGATAGCTCAGCGAGTATGCATTATTTTTTTGGCTCCAAACCGACCTTAACTGAATGGAACCAGCCGTAAAAAACACGACCGTCAGCAAAACCACTTTCGATTTGTGAATAAAAATTAAGTAACCGCGTTCCTGAAGGCTTCAACGCCAGCGCCTATTTTTCTATTTATAAATAAAATGTATTATTGTTAATTTTAAAATAATAAAAAATCCTTTACAAAAGGGCATTACACATACATATATGGTAAATCTATGGATTGATCTGTGGCTACAGCCGAAGTAAACGTTATAGCTGTTATAATATTAGACCAGATACTACGGCTGACTCCTACGATTAGTAAGTATAAAGAAGGGAGCTATAAAAGCGGTGACTATATGACTTTAGATATAGTTGTATAGTGCTTCTGGATCAGTTGCGTAAACAGACACAAATACATATCTGCTAGCCAAAAAGTAAAAAACAAATTGAGCTATTAATAACAGCCATAACCAAAGAGCCATACAAAACCACTATACGAGTATGTGCTCGATATACGTATTGCAATGTAAGGACCTTTGAAAGTAATAGACCAAGTGTGAAAAAAATACTAGTGGTATGGATGCTCTCCTAGATCCTGGAAAGGACGATTTTTGGTGTTTTTGCAGATTTGAACCCACTACTACAAAAAACATTTAATTACAACTATTGTGTTTGTTGGATGCTAGTTCTTAAACTCGGATTTTGGTTACGCGTCAATATCAGTATTATTTTTGTACATATACATATATTTATCATATTCATTTTTACAGAAGAGATAATTGTTCCATTTTTATACTCTGTACCTGAAAAGTACAAGAGTATTAAATATTAGGTTTGTGCAAAGTAAACATTTAACAGAAGGATGCGTGGCAGATCCCACAAAGTATATATATTCTTAATTGGCAAGCCAAGACGAGTTGATCTACTCATGTCTGCCTCGCTGTCCGTCTGTCTGTTCGTATGAAAAGGTAGATATCAGGAACTATAAGGCCTAAAAATATTGCACATATTGCACCAATATGCTTTATATGTGTTCGCACCAAGAGTTTTTTGTTAGGGATTTTCCGTATAGGCATTCGTACAATCACGTAGATCTCGGAGACTATTAATGCTAGAGACACTAAATTTTGGTCCCAAATGACCTATATGTGTACAAAGTACTTTCCTATGAAATTGTATCTCAAATTTGGAAAATACCTTCATGTGTGGCAGGTTTCATCATGATAGGTCAATTCGAAAGGAAGTTATAGCCATAAATTTATTATCTGCCCAAGCTCTTCTGCTGTTTTGATTCAACTTTTTACTGCACACATTGTTAAACACAGCCTCGCATAGACATCATAGGCACAGTTCCGATGTAAATGTGCGGGCTCAAGTCCCAAAGAAGGTATAATCGATCAAAACTATTGTTTTTTTATTATTACAATTTCGTAAAAAAAATTTAAAGTTTATATAGTGACAGAGCAAAGGAACAGAGCATTCTAAAGTCGGGACACCCTACTACGCTAGTGCTCCATATGTACATACGATTACATGAATAATTTATATGTATGTATGTATATGAATTAAATAGGATCACTGGTGTACAGCCAAGGACCTCTTTATTTTCCTTCTGTTTCAATGGAGCAAAAACGAAATAAAGTCGAAAGCTATACCGTGCAGTTAATTTTTTAGAAACTTTAGAGATGTATGTACATACTTGTATGTATGTAATTGGACTGATGTCCATGCACTTTATTACCCACAATCTGTGTTCAGTCTCGTTCGATCCACGACCTTATGATAATTTTATTTTTTTAATAATACATACTATATGAATGTATATATTAATGCTGTTGACATCATGAACTAAATTCGTAATCCGAAATCGAAAAAATTATACATACATATGTATGTATGTACATACATACATATTTGTTTGTCACCAAAGCCTGCCGATTACCGTTTTGTTTACTGTTTCCTCAGTCGCCTTGTTGGTGTGTCCGATAAGGCCCAGAAGTGACCACAAGAAATTGCAATATTGTCTGCACTTATGTATGTACATATGTATGTATGTACATACATATGTATGTATTTATTGTTGACATGTCGTTGAACAAAATTGCATTTGTTCCACAGATGCATACATACAATACTTGTAATGGCATGGTATAACTGGCATATAAATACACGGCAAGCGCAAATCAAATGGATGAGCATTAAATGTATACATTGTGAAGAAAGCTCAACAACACTTCAGTCTATATACATACATACATACGAGTACCTAAGTACATATGTATGTATGTATGCTTCTGTCGCGATTTGCGCATGTAATGCAGGGTACGTGATTGCGTGTTATTTGTATAAAATTTAAGGATATATGTATATGTATGTATATATACATATGTACACATACATACATACATATGTATGTATGTACATAATTTCCAGTGCTTAAGCCAGACACTATTTAGTGAACAGCTGTTCAGCGAAATTATACGATTATGTACATGTATCCCAAACACAAGTGAATAGTCCCAGTTTTGATTTACCCCAAACAATATATGTACATATGTATGTATACTATATTGCAAATTGGAATACCCTATATATTTCAAGAATGAACAAAAAATCACTTTGCTCGTAGTATAGAATTCGTGATAATGTTTCAAACAATTTGCGCGCATTTTAATGATTGTAATACCCACACTTGAAAAACTAATTTTTTTTATAAATTTTATAACCGATCGCAATAGTTTTTATAGTTGGGCTTATTTTTTCTTTAAGTTAAAAACGAATCAAGACAGGGTGCACCCGCAAACTAACGGAACAGAGAACAGAAAAAAAAACACAAACAACAAAAATAAAACAAGATGGAGACACCGACGCGTACGATCAGGACCGTTCCACGGCGCTTATTGAACCGCTGCAGCGTGAGGCTTGACACTTTTTGTTTGGCCCGCTTGGTCGTTGAATTAAATTTGAATGAGTTTGCTGCCAAGCTGCCTCCCGCCGGCAACGTCAACGCTGCTGCCGATGTCACCGCCGCTGCTTCTGCGTTTTCGCTGAGCGTTTTTGCACGGTTTTTAAAAGTTCAGTTCCAGTCGTACGAAATGGAGCAACTTGCGATGCACGCGCCGCAATAAAACAACGTCGTTACGATACGATACGCGAAACGTCCATCATATGACTGTCGAATATTAGAGCCGAACGAACTTGACTATCTTTAAATAATTTTCCACCTCCTTTAGTAGTCTCTGACTGCTGTTAGTCTCTGTGCGCATGTGTGTGTGTATGTGTGTGTGTATGGGTGGGTGTGTTGGTGTTTTTGCGCTGATTTATTTTGAGTTCGTCTTTCGAAAAATGTGTGAGATTTCATATTGTCGTTGTCGCTGCCTCTGCCGCTGCTGCTGCTGCTGCTGATCCCGCACTAGCAGCGAGCCCGCGTTAAAAGAAAAACAAACCGAGACCGAACCGAACCGAACCATTATAACTCACTCAATATTTCAGACAATTTGAACTTAAAGCGCATGCCAGAGACAAACATTCGCACTTGCGCTAATGCTGCCGTGGCGTCAGCGATGACGCTTTGAGTGGAAGTGCGAATGCGTTTTGAGTGAATGCGAGTGGGAACTGTGGATCAGTGTAAGCATCACCTGCCACATACCATGTCAGCGAATCAAGCAGAGACCGACAAGAAGTGTTACCTATTTCAACAACAGCAACAACCACCAGTACAATTCGAGCACTTTTTCTCCACCAACAACTACAGCAGCAGCAAAAAGTGCTACCAATAGGCACACAATATCAGCACAGTGGGCTCATGCCCTTGCGAAGAGGGCATTTAATCCTGGACAGGCGAACTCGTATTGCCTTGTGGTTAGAAGAGTCAGTGTGGACTTAAACGTTTCCAAATGCCTAGATCGATTGGTTTCTCTGTGCTGAATAAAAACTAAGCCTCTTCGTCTTACATACAGGTGTGTCAACCTAATATTTTGCCGTTACCTTTGGGGTACAAGTATTACAAGTAGCCCAACTCTCAATATATTGTAAATATAAATTACGACATAAATAATTTTGCCAATATATTTAATATCTGGACTGCAAACTTTTTGTAAAATAAGACGATCAGTCAACAAAAAATTTGATTTAGGCGACTTCTTGTCGTATGTATGTATATACACATCTACTACTCTTAAAACTGTTTATTTAAAGGTGAGTTAAAATAATACGCCTCTTTTTATACAAAAATATTTTTCAACTTCTATCGTTTAAGAACGAGGTTTTTAGTGTGTTAAAAGAGAAAATGTAGATAATTTTTAATCGTGGCAGACCGAGATCGTATTATAAGAGGTGCTGTTAAGCGAGGTTCAAATCGATTGACTTAATCAGGCTATAGTCTGACAAACTGAACTTTAGAATAGGCCGACGGACAGCTCTCAACTTTTATAAGGACCACCAAGCAAGAAATCGTGTAATGAATACATTCTCAATATGGTATTCCCAAGACCAGGCATCACCAGTCGTGCAAGCCCGACAGTAAAATACCCTGTACTCTCCACAAAAAAGAAAATTAAAAAATAAAATATTAAAAAAACCATAATTAACTTAATTAATTAATGAAATTAAATATAAAATATTCAACACATACATAAGTGTTTATGTACAATTTCAATAGAATAAATTTACATCAGAATCGTGTCTTTGCAGCACAAAGTTGAACCAAAGCAGCAACAACAACAACAGCTGCGGGCACCGACTGGTGGTGTTTACCAACTTTGAGTACAAAACGAATTGCGGGAGTGGGGGGTGCATCGAAAAAAAATCTTAAACTCGTACTTTCTCGGTCTTAGGAGAATCTGAATACCAAGTTTGGTAGCTGTTATACTTTCTGAGATCCTTGCGTTCATACAGACGGACGGACGGACGTGGCTATATCGACTCGATTTGTCATCCTGATACTTTGTGGGGCCTGCCACGCCTTCTTCTGCCTGTTACATAGATTCGCACGAAACTAGTATATCCTGTCATCCTTTGCGTACAGGGTATAATTAGCTAGGGACCAATATAGGGCAATAGTTTCTGATTGTATGAAATGTATGTACAAATATACACAAAAGAATTACAAGCAGTGCTTGCATTTTCGGAAACATTTTTCCTATATACTCGCAACAGTGTGCATTTGGAGGCATTGACTATATTTATTTGCGCTTGTAATTTTCGTACTATTCGGTTTTGTTGCTGTTCAATTTTCTTGGGCATGGCAGCAAATTTGTCAGTGTATACCACCGCGGGCTTAGTACTCCCCTTTCGATCATCAACTGGCCAGAGCAGGCGCCGAAAAACGTGGGGCTAGTCAGCGTAAGCGCAACACACCTAAACGTGCGTTTTTGTTTGCTTAGACGTACGCGCACAACAGCAACAACAATAACGAAAACCTGGGCGCAAATGTTTTGTCTACGGATTTAGTGCTTTATGACGGTACTAATAGAGCGCAAACTTTAAACAACAACAATAACAACAAGAGCGTGCCGGCAGCACCGCCCACATGAGTATAACACATCGTACTACATAGCCTCATAGACGTACATACATATGTACGCATGTATGTACATACATTTGTATGTATGTACATGCATAACTATTGCAGTTCTCGATACACATTGTTGCAAGGAGCTGCCTACTCCTCATACACAATAGTAATCCTTCAACATGCACTTCGCGCATGCGCAGCCACAGTGCTTCCAAATCGTTATTATTGTGCGCCCACATCTATCCATTCCTCTTGATTGATTGGTGGTGCCAACCCTGTGCACGAAAATTGCACAACGCCACTGCGCAACCCTCCACTAAGTATGAAAGGCCAGTAATGAGAATAATGACACTTGCGATTTGAGTGAATTATCACTTTGCGATTTGCCTTTGCCTGGGCTCTCCACTGAGTGTCGTGTTGACAAAGACAGCCAGAAAAATCGAGCGTGCTCACGACGAGAGCAGAGATAGCTACAATAAGCACCTACACATATCATTGTATATACATACATACATACTACATACGTATGTATGTATGTATATGTATAAATGTCTGTCGGGGGTCGATCAGTACCCGTGTTATGCGGGCCATAGACGCTTCAATCTGATCGCGATAACTGCGTGCACGTGTTGATACATATTCCTTAGGCTGGGCGGAAATACTTGAATTTTGAATGGAGCTTGGTATAACAAGAAAGGAATGCTAAAGTCGAGCAGGCTCAACTCTTAAATACCCTATAACACCCCACAAAAAAGTAATTAAATTAATTAATAAATTTAATTAAATTAATTAACTAAATTAATTTAATTAATTAACTAAATATTAACTAATTAAATATTTGTCCCTATTCAAGTGCATGGCAAAAACTGTGTGTTTTTAGCATAGTCAAAAGCAAAACAGTGATAGTCCATAACGGTTAATTATTAAAAGCTAACTGTAAATTTGTACAGTTCCCTGATGCTGCATTCTAAGTGAAACACCAAAGCATTTGAAGGCAGCCCTTTGCCAAAAAGAGAAAAACACAATACAAATGCTAGAAAATCTTGTCCCTATTCAAGTGCATGGCAGTGTAATATTCCATGCATGCATACATACATTTACATTTACATCAGAATCGTGCCTTATGCGTGTTTGTGTACTTGTACATATGTATGTATGTGTGCATTGGGCCTGGTTATATGGCTATAACTTTCTTTCCGATCATTCTATCATAATGAAACTTGGTATACGGATATATACTTACTAACCTAATGTGACTACCAAATTTTAGTTCAAAATTACCCAAAGGGTACAAGGGTATATTAGTTTTGTGCGAGTGCACATGGAACACACAGAAGGAGGCTTGGTAGACCCCACAAAGTATATATATTCTTGATCAGCATGACAAGCCGAGTCGATATAGTCATGTCCGTCTGTCCGTCTGTCTGTCCGTCCGTCTGTCTGTCTGTATGAACGGAAGGATCTCCGAAAGTATAAGAGCTAGAGTAACCAAACTTGGTATACAGATTCTCCTGAGCCCGAGAAAAGACGAGTTTGTTCATTTTTTCTGATCCACCCCCAAATGTAAATGTATGTATGCATGCATGGAATATTTTATATTTAATTTAGTTAATTAATTTAATTACTTTTTTGTGGGGTGGTACAGGGTATTTAAGAGTTGAGCCTGCTCGACTTTAGCATTCCTTTCTTGTCTTTATTTTTTTCGGTGTGGGTACAGGATATTTAAGAGTTGAACCCCCTCGAGTCTAGCATTCCTTTCTTGTTTAGTAGCAGGTAGATGGAAGCATCTTCGACCCCATAAAGTACAATTTTCCTAATCAGCATGACGAGAAAAATTGCGTCTGTCTGGATGAGCTCCTGGATTTTGGAAACGGTTGAGCGCACATTGGCAAAACTTGGTACGTGCCTAATATTCTGGTAACACGAGTTTATTTACTTTTTTTGATTCCCCCCACATTCCACATTTCATGTTCGCTCTATTTCTTCCTTTGTTTGTGTGCAGGGTATTTAACTCTAGGGCTTGCTCAACTGTAGCGAAATATTGAAACAGGAAAAACTGTATACGCATGTACATATGTAAATATAAAGCTTCTTTGTGTCTCTAGACACAGAAAAACCGCTAGAAACCCCGCTTAAATTAGCTATAAAATGGCTAGAAACCCCGCCAGGGATTGGTACTAACCCAAATGGGTAAAATATGCTAGGGCTTGCTCAACTGTAGCGAAATATTGAAACAGGAAAAACTATATACGCATGTACATATGTAAATATAAAGCTTCTTTGTGTCTCTAGACACAGAAAAACCGCTAGAAACCCCGCTTAAATTAGCTATAAAATGGCTAGAAACCCCGCCAGGGATTGGTACTAACCCAAATGGGTAAAATATGCTACAAAATGGATACAAACTAACTATAACCATCTAGAAAATGGAAACACCGCTACAAATAACTATAAAACGCACTAAGCCCAGGGGATTGAGGGATTCGAAATTCCAAGAATTACGGGAGTTATGGAAAATCACGAATTGAGGTGGTTGGGGAGTGAGGGAATATCCAGAATACACATTTCCTGCGTATTCATATAAGGCATCTGGGACTAAAATTTGGTGGGGGGATATCAAAAAAATAAAACAAACTCGTATAGTGTACACACATCTTTGTGCAAGATGTGGTGTCGGTATCTCTTATTGTCTCTGAGATCTAGGTGAGTATACGGACAGACAGAAAAAAATCAACTCGTCTTGCCATGCTGTTCAAGAATATATATATACTTTGTGGGGTCTGCAACGC